ATGGTGGTCTCCTACTCTCCCGAGTGGCGCAGTGGTCTAAGGCACTGCATCGCAGTATGACATTTTTTTAAAATAATGTATGCACTCACTAACTGTAAGTCACTCTGGATAAGAGCATCTGCTAAATGACTAAAATGTTGTTGTTTTTTTATGTAAAAATGTGGTCTGCTTGAGACATGTAGGTATTACAGATTGGGTCAGGGGGACGTCAAAAATGTCAGTGAAAACACTTGACAGCTGGTCAGTGCATGCTTTGAGTACGCGTCCTGGTAAGCCGTCTGGCCCTGCGGCCTTGTGAATGTTAACCTGTTTAAAGGGCTTACTCACATCAGCTACGGAGAGCGTGATCACACAGTCGTACGGAACAGCTGGTGCTCTCATGCATGGTTCAGTGTTGTTAGCCTCGAAGAAAGCATAGAAGGTATTTAGCGCATCTGGTAGGCTCGCATCACGGGACAGCTCGCTGCTTGGTGTCCCTTAATAATCCATGATAGTTTGCAAGCCCTGCCACATCCGACGAGCGTCAGAGCTGGTGTAGTAGGATTCGATCTTGGTCCTGTATTGACACTTTGCCTGTTTGATGGTTCGTCGGAGGGTGTAGTGGGATTTCTTATAAGCGTCAGGATTAGTGTTCCGCACCTTGAAAGCGGCAGCTCTTACCTTTAGCTCATTGCGGATGTTGCCTGTAATTCAAAGCTTCTGGATGGGATATGTTCGTACTGTATGGTCACTGTGGGGACGACGTCATCTATGCACTTATTAATTAAGCCGGTGACTGATGAGGTAAACTCCTCAATGCCATCGGATGAATCCCAGAACATATTCCAATCTGTGCTAGCGAAACAGTCCTGTAGCTTAGCATCCGCTTCATTGGACCACTTCCGTACTGAGAGAGTCACTGGTACTTCACAAATGAATCCCTTATCTGTATCAGGCCTGGTGTGCCTGTATATCGCAGGTGAGTCTCTCCAGCAACCCAAACAGACAAAGACAATCTACACACAAAATGTGCTGCTGCATTAGACTTGCAGCAACATTCAAATGAAAGGCTTCAAACTCTTTCTGGCCTGAACACCCCTTTTAAATAAAAAGGCCTATCCAATCAGATTCCTAACTCAGATTGAGCTCAGGTGTGATGAATTACCAACATCATTATTTTGTCCATATATGGAGTTCCTGACAGGGCCCCAATTCAACACAAATTCTACAGGAGCCAGATATGCCCATATATGGAGTTTCTGTCAGGGTCCCCATTTCAAAATGAATTTGACCCAATTAAGACGGTCAGCTCCTGACATTTGCATTTGGGTTAATTGAATTCATGTAATGCATCATGTATTTTCATGATATAGGTTCCTGTTTCCTTTTCCAGACATACATTTTGGGGGGTTCTTTCTAACACATATACATTGTATAATAGTGAGTTTATAGCCTTTAATGTTTCTTTAAGGTCAAACGAAAGGTATTTTTACCGTAATGCTGCATTCGTAAACAAGTGGGAAGTGGGAATTTACCACACATGACTGTATGAAAAACCACTTGAACACCCTTCGAACTGATAACTACTAGTGGAAAACTCGTCTATCATTCCTGAGCTCCGACTTCTCCCACATGCTGACCTCTGACGTCACCTACTAAGTAAACGACCATGATAACAGAATTTTCCGCAGTTAAATGTAACAAGAAAACATGATTTATAAAAAGCAATCTATTAATATGGTTTCTGAAATCTATAATTTGTTTACAAGCATTATAGCTGTACTTTTAGTTTATGGTTGACACAGCTTGTTGGCCATTAGCCAATCGGCATTTCTCAACGAGTTCAAAGCACGTCAATGCGTCCAACTGGTATTTACGACTTCACAACTGATAAATTCCCACCTCCCACTTGGTTACGAACGCAGCAAGTTGGTCTTCCTCTAAGCAGCAATAGTTTACTAGTAACTGGACTTTGTCACATTGCTGATTGTCATATGGCTTACTGATTGTCCTTTTTTTTTTTATGTTAATATGATACTTCACCTCACTCAAAGACCAAATCTGGAGAGCAAAACAAAAAGCCCCCCCCCAAAAAAAAGAAAGAAAGAAAATAACCGTCAGTTGACTTTATTCTTCCATGTCTTTCCCTCTCTTCTCAGTAAATGGTGCGAGGCAAAATGTCGTTAGTGTAAATCATTTCTGTGGAACACCTGTCCCCTGTGTAATTTGCTTGCTTGGGGCATTTTATTTATTCTCTTTTTTTATCTGCTGAACCCTTTGAAGAACCCTTTTGGGCTCCAGGTAGAACCCTTTTGGTTCCAGTTAGAACCTTTTGGGTTCCATGTAGAACCCTTTCTATAGAGGCTTTTACATGGAACCCAAAAGGGTTCTCTTATGGGGACAGCCGAAGAACCCTTTTGGAACCCTTTTTTCTAAGAGTGTACTAATCACAGACTAGAATGGATAGCTGACAATTAAATGATTCATATTTGGCATAAGATTTATCTGGACAGTTGATGGTGTCACTCTTAGCTAAACATTACAGAGTTCTATGTGCAGAACTGATGTATTGAAGCAGGAATATCTTCATAAGTCATCAATTTGTTAAATACAGGAACTAAACTAAAACTGCATTATTTAAAACACAAAACTGAAACGTTTGGATATCCAAGAATAATAGGCATTGTACTGTCCAGTATATAATAAGTATTCACCCCCCTTGGATTTCTTCACATTTTATTGTGTTACAAAGTGGGATCAAAATGTATTTAATTGTCTTTTTTTTTGTCAACAATCTACACAAAATACTATTTAATGTCAAAGTGGAAGACAAATTCTAAAAACATTATTATAACTTGATTAAATAAGTATTTACCCCCCTGAGTCAATACATGTTAGAAACACCTTTGGCAGCGATTACAGCTGTGATTCTTCTTGGGTAAGTCTTTAAGAGCTTTGCACACCTGGATTTTGCAATATTTGCCCATTATTCTTTTCAACATTCTTCAAGCTCTGTCAAGATGTTGGGGATCATGGCTAGACAGCAATTTTCAAGTCTTGCAATAGATTTTCAAGCAGATTCAATTCAAAACTGTAATTTGTCCACTCAGGAACATTTACTGTCTTCTTGGTAAGCAACTCTAGTGTAGATTTGGCCTTGTGTTGTAGGTTAATTGTTCTGTGAAAAGGTGAATTCCTCTCTCAGTGTCTGGTGTAAAGCAGACTGAAGCAGATTTTCCTCTAGGATTTTGCCTGTGCTTAGCTCCATCCCGTCTTTACCGATGTCAAGCATACCCATACCATGATGCTGCGACCGCCATGCTTGAAAATAAGGAGGCAGTTACTCAGTGATGTGTAATATTGATTTTCCCCAAACATAAGGCTTTGAATTTAGGCCAAAAAGTGTATTCCTTTGCTGTGTTTTTTTTCTTCAGTATTACTTTAGTGCCTTGTTGCATACAGGATGCATGTTGTGGAATAAAAATGTTTCTGTATGTTTGTATTCTTCTATTCACTCTGTCATTTAGGTCATTATTGTGGAGTCAATACAATGTTGTTGATCCATCCTCAGTTTTCTCCCATCACAGCCATTGAACTCTGTAGCTGTTGGCCTCATGGTGGCAGTTGCCTTCCTCTCCTGAATCTCTGTTCAGAAGGAAGACTGTATCTTTGATGTATCTGGGTGGTTAAATACATAATCCACAGCATAATTATTAACTTGATATCCAATGTCTGATTTGTTATTGTTACCCATCTACCAATCACTGCCCTTCTTTATGAGGCTTTCGAAAAGCTCCCTGGTCTTTGTATATGAATCTGTGCTTAAAATTCCATACTTGACTGAGGGACCTTACAGATGTTGTATGTATGGGGAACAGAGGAAGGGGTAGTCATTCAAAAATCATGTCACATAGAGTGAGTCCATGTAACATATTATGTTTCTGGATCATTTCTTTTGGATATTTAGACTTTAGAGATGTAGCGCTTATGATAATTCCTTTTTGTATGGTATGCTTTGCATGTGAAATGCAAGTTCATCTCTCAAAACTCCCTCATGTGGTAGTGTTTGAAACTGTGCATGTAAATAGTTCACCACTAGATGGGGCTCTAGTGTAAAAAAGAGTTGGGAAGAAAGTATTCCTTCTGTATCCCTATGAATTAATGTAGGATCTATGACTATGTATAGCCTTTTGTTTGCTTGTTTTGTTCAGTTGATCCTTCCTGTTATGTTTGTCATATCGGATGTCATTATACTTCATTTTTAAGTACCATGTCCTCTACTCATTATATTGTATACATTGAGTTGCTCCCACCTCTCTTCTCTCGTTCTCTCTCTGAAGCATCAGTCCATGTTGCGAGTGATGAGGGTTAATGAGTGATCAGTATTATTCCATTTTTAACCTTATGAGAAACTTTTAGTTTGCCCATTTTCTTGTTATTTAATACTTAAATCACTTCCCTATGAGCAGGTTGTTGTGACAGAGTCGAAAGTGGCTGTATGATGTTCTCCATGCTATATGTGATGATCCCCCTTTGAGATGCACAGGGGCTTTCAGGCTGGTTGTGCCTGTTGATGTGCCTTCATTAAGTTATCGGCCTATAAGTTCTAAATGTTCTGAATCATGTATATTCATCCTGTTGTTATGTGAGGCATCATGAAGTCATCATGAGACATTTTGACACATCATGACACCATCTTTGACCATTCAACACAGTTAGCTGCCATCAACTCTATCACAGTGAGTGACGTGTGTGAGGTGAGGTGGTGGAGGAAGGTAGACACCATTGGTCAGTCGTTCATAAAGAGGGCTAAACCCCTCCCTACTGAATATGAAACAGTCCAGGACATATTAACCATCAATTCCAACATGGCCATTTAACCTGGGTTACTACTCTAGAGCCCACGCCTGGGATTGTCTTCAACAATATTCATTGGCCAGTGGACCATCAGTCACACCGTTACTCTTTTGTCACCGCTGAAGTTCTCACCAACTTCAGTAGTAAGCACTGTATTGTACACGATGAGTAACATGGTGACAGAGATTTTGGCCTTTATTCTGACCACGTCTGGCTGGGTCCTGATCTCCTCCACCATACCCACGGATTACTGGAAGGTGTCCTCTCTGGATGGCACGGTCATCACCACAGCTACCTTCTGGTCTAACCTGTGGAAGGCCTGTGTCACTGATTCAACAGGAGTCTCCAACTGCAAGGACTTTCCCTCCATGCTGGCACTGGACGGTCTGCTCAAAGTTTATTTTTTGTCATTGGGAAAGTGTCTTATAGCAGCTGCTTTACACGCTTGAGAGGGCCTACTGGCCTGCGGTGATACAATACACAGCTTTGAAACTGTAAGAGCTCCTTATATGAGCCAATTATTGTGATTCTAATGTCCTCATTGTATAAATGTATAGTTATCCCAATTTTTTGTTCCAGATGATCAAGTGATTACATCTCAATGCATTCATTATGCATGGACTAGTTGTAAAAGCTTGTTACATGGATTGTATTCAATTTCGTGGGCGCTAATGAAAGTGCAGTCTGCAGGCTAGCAGTGTTTCAGCATCTGGTCAGCGTGTCTCAGATGAGGGTCAGTGGATCTGCCACCTCAGTGTAACTGTGCCACAGTTCAATTTCAAGCTCATTACTTGGAAAAAGAAGGGCTCATTACTTGGAAAGAGAAGGGCTCAGAGCTTGCCAGTGCTAATAGATTTTGGGGGAAGGCACAATGCAAGTTTTCTCCCAGGGACAACTCATCTACCTTCAGAGATGTCAATGTTTAGCCTAACTTCATGGGAGTTGAAGGCTATAAATTAAATTTACTGGGAGCTTGGGGCTTTCTCCCATGGCTGGCTAATTTCTGGGGTTAACCACCAAGCTAATATTTGCCTGTTAATCACATCTCAAAGGCAGCTCCAATTTCAAGACTACAAAAAAAAAATGTTTTATTGTCACATACACCGGATAGGTGCAGTGAAATGTGTTGTTTTACAGGGTCTGCCATAGTAGTACGGTGCCCCTGGAGCAAATTAAGGTTAAGTGCCTTGCTCAAGGGCACATCGACAGATTAGCATATCTCTTTACTTAGAAACAATTACTGGTTGTGCTTACAAATTACAGTTTATGCGTACTGAACCAATGTGTTGCTTGCACAGTTAGCTGAGCAAATGAAAAGTGAAATCTAAGCAAGCCTAAATATCTTATATTGAGTGATAATTCACTTAAAATGTGTTTTTTTACTACCAAGCTACAATATTGGCAATATATTTTAGCTTAATAAGACGATTAAGGTAAAATATCTTGAAATAAGATAAATTACTTATTTTAAACTTTAAAAAAGGCTTAATACAAGCAAAATTATTAAAATAAGCAAAATTATCTGCCAATGACGTTAGATAATTTAGCTTTCACTTTTTGCTGTGTTGTGATCCTGTATGGTATGTGGGTGTAATGAGATGGGGAGGGCATTGGGGGAAATGGCTGGGGTACATTTAGCTATTGAGAATGCTTTTGACTATGCTTATAACTACAGCTGACCATACATCAAATCAAGATGCATGGCCTAAAGGTATGTGTAACAGATGTCTGACATGGTCCACGTTTGTTCTTCCAGGCTACATCCAGGCCTGCCGGGGTCTGATGATCACTGCTGTCTGTTTGGGCTTCTTTGGTGCTGTCTTCGCCTTGGTCGGAATGAAGTGCACCAAGATTGGGGGATCAGACCAAAGCAAAGCCAGGACAGCTTGCATCGCCGGGGTCAATTTCATACTCAGCGGTAACTATCATGCCACAGCCATTGATCAAATCAAATCAAATCAAGTTTTATTGATATACAACAGGTGTAGACATTACAGTGAAATGCTTACTTACAGCCCTTAACCAACAATGCATTTATTTTTAAATAAAAAAGTAAAATAAAACAACAACAAAAAAGTGTTGAGAAAAAAAGAGCAGAAGTAAAATAAAATAACAGTAGGGAGGCTATATAGGGGGGTACCGGTGCAGAGTCAATGTGCGGGGGCACCAGCTAGTTGAGGTAATATGTACATGTGGGTAGAGTTAAAGTGACGCATAAATAATTAACAGAGTAGCAGCAGCGTAAAAAGATGGGGTGGGGGGGCAGTGCAAATAGTCTGGGTAGCCATGATTAGCTGTTCAGGAGTCTTATGGCTTGGGGGTAGAAGCTGTTGAGAAGTCTTTTGGACCTAGACTTGGCACTCCGGTACCGCTTGCCGTGCGGTAGCAGAGAGAACAGTCTATGACTAGGGTGGCTGGAGTCTTTGACAATTTTGAGGGCCTTCCTCTGACACCGCCTGTTATAGAGGTCCTGGACGGCAGGAAGCTTGGCCCCAGTGATGTACTGGGCCGTACGCACTACCCTCTGTAGTGCCTTGCGGTCGGAGGCCAAGCAGTTGCCATACCAGGCGGGGATGCAACCAGTCAGGATGCTCTCGATGGTGCAGCTGTAGAATTCTTTGAGGATCTGAGGACCCATGCCAAATATTTTCAGTCTCCTGAGGGGGAATAGGCTTTGTCGTGCCCTCGTCACGACTGTCTTGGTGGGTTTGGACCATGATAGTTTGTTGGTGATGTGGACACCAAGGAACTTGAAGCTCTCAACCTGTTCCACTACAGCCCTGTTGAATTGATGTTACCAAGTCTGCAGCACTGAACGTTATTTTCTTCTCTGCAGGTCTCTGCTCGTTGTCTGCATGCTCCCTGTATGCACACAGGATAACATCTGAGTTTTTTAACCCCATGTTTGTCGCTCAGAAGTGAGTAACTAATTTGATGTATAGGATCAGACATACAGCAGTGACACACATGATCCTGGATGAAGTAATACTGCTGTTAATTAACCCGTCTCCTTTGTTCTCCTGTTTTCCAGGTATGAACTGGGAGTTGCCTTGTTCATTGGTTGGGCAGGATCTATCCTTTGTATTCTGGGAGGGGTGATATTCTGCTTCTCAATAGCAGATAGTTCCACTACAAGGTAAGTCATACAGTTCATTAATGATGTGTAATGATATTTGGTCAATTACATGTTTGGTTTACTTAACATTTTTCTCTCTCTCTCTCTCTCTCTCTCTCTCTCTCTCTCTCTCTCTCTCTCTCTCTCTCTCTCTCTCTCTCTCTCTCTCTCTCTCTCGCTCTATCTCTATCCTCTAGTCACACAGGCTATGCCTACAGAGGAGCTACCTCTGCCTCTCATGTCTCTTCCCATCCTAGAGGGCATGCACAGCCCATGAGCCAGAGGCCTCCACCAGAGTACAGTAGCTCTTCTAGAGTACAGCACTTTGATAAGAATGCCTATGTATAAGGGATGATAGGACAAATGCAGAACCAGAACAGCGGCATGGTCTCGAGAGGCCGACTTACCTCCATACCAGTTAAAAGGGGGAGAAAGAATGTGTTACAAGACTGGCATTGTGGCCCAAATCACGATTGATCAGAAAGAGGTCACTGCATATTGGAGTTGATCCCCCAGTTCACCTATTTATGATAGCACTAATTTCCATGCTGAGTCCAATGGAAATCAGTGCCTTTTTCAGTTCATAAGAGATTGGCTGATATTTTTGGCTTAGATACTTTCCTTTATTATATGTGAGCCTTCTGGTAGACCTAAACAGCAAATCAAAATACAGCGTCAATAATAACCACTTTTCTATACAATTGTTGATTTTCTTTCTACTTTTTTGATAATTGTTTGACATTAAAGTATGTGAATTGTTATATTGTGTTGTCTTGCCTGTCTCTAACTGTACGACACACATTAAAATGCCGTTAATCTATAATGACAGAACATTTAAAACAATGTTTCACAGCGAAACATCATGTTACTAAACTACCTTCCATGACATAACCATCAACTACAGTTTGTTTTACAATCAAAATATCTTTGAGGTCACTTTTGGAAAAGTGCTATCCATTTACAGTCCCTCTAGTATATTTTAATAACTCATTATTTATAGTCCTATTTCAGAAAATCCTAAACAATTTGTATTTAGCCTATTACAAAATCATGTGTATTTGTGCTTGTTTCAAATAATCCTCTCTCCCTAAAAGATTATGTAATTACTATGCCATTACTAAATTCCTACCACTAAATATAGAGTCTATAATAAAAGTTGTTTCAGAATGTTACATTTTAAATAAACTGATTAAAACAAAGGGTTTACCAGCATGACTCAAATGAAACACTTATCCTTTGTGTAAAGCTGCCAGTGATGTGATTCCTTTCAAGTTGGACCCACACTCCTTACAGTTTACAGTAAACAGCTTCCAACATGGTTTCAACAACAGAGCCCACATCAACACTCTCCTATACACACACCATGTCATCCAGTCCAGAGAGATGTGTTATCACCTACTGAAACAAGACAAGCATCAACATCCTGCAGCAGACCTGGCATCACGTGTGTCCTGAGTCTTGATCCCTCACACACACCTCTTCAGGAGCGCCTAGGAGCAGCGGGTTAGCACACCCATCCTTTCTCATCTGGAACCATGAGGAAAAGGCTGATCCAGGTTTTTGGTTTCCTGATCTCAACGCTGGGATGGCTTTTTGTGCTTTGTACCATGGCGATGGATTACTGGAGGATCACCCAGATAGGTGGCCAGGGAGGCTCCTTCATTATCAAGGTGGCCTGGTACTGGTCCAACCTGTGGCAGGACTGCATCACTCACTCGACAGCAGTCACCAACTGCAGAGACTTCCCTGTGCTGTGGTCTGTCACACGTAAGAACACCGTTCAAACATCTCATTTAAGTTTTTGAAATATAGATTACATTGTAGGATCTCTGCAAATTGATTACAATCTTGTTGCAATATTTCATACTCAAACATCACTTTGAATTCTTGAGAGCAGTTTGTAACTATTTTCTAATGGGAAGAGCAACAACAACACAAACTTTGTGCTGATCGATGAAATGTTGACTCATATCTACTTCTCCTTTTTTTTTTTTTTGCAGCTATCATCCAGGGAGTGAGAGGCCTGCTGATGTGTGGACTAACCCTTGGGTTTTTTGGTGCAATATTTTGCTTTGTTGGCATGGAGTGCACTTATATTGGAGGAGGGGAAAAAAAAAAAAAACAAGGATACCCTTTTATTTGCTGGATCCGTATTTCACTTTGTCGGTGGTAAGTACTGTCCATGATATGTTTGGTTCTCCAAATGACAGACATTGTTTTCCATCAACATTTCCTGGTATGACTGAAACCTCTTCACACAGGTGTGTCAGACTTAGCTGCATACTGCTTATACATCAACAAAGTCGCAAGGAACACTTTCACTCAATCTTCGCCAGGAATCCTACGGTAACATGACTATTTCAAAGGTCTACAATGCTGTTTGAAATTAAAAGTACAAATTAACAGCTGCAAATATTAGTAACTGTACTGATTTATGCTTTCTACTCTTGCTAAGGTATGACTTAGGACCTCCCATTTTTACTGGAATAGTTGGATCTTTTTGCATCCTCTTAGGGGCCATTCTCTATGCTGTGACTGTGTACAAAGTCTTATTCCCTACAGCAAAGTAAGAACAAGTCATTTGATCAGAATGATAGACATTCATTATATCTCTGAACAATAAGATCCCATCATTCCAGCATGCCATCATTGTGTTTTGCCTTCATTGAATAATGGCAATGAGAACTATGTTGTATTTTGTCTCATTATTTCAGAGTGGTGCATGCCCATGGTGGTCCTGGAACACGAACATACATGGCCTCTCGGTCTGGAGGCAGAACCCTCTACACTGGATACTACAGACCACCCAGACAGTACAGATCCTACGGATCAGGGAGATCCAGCAGCTCTAAACTCACTAGGATCTCCCAGATAACACCTGAGAAACTGTCAGACAGAGATGCCTTTGTGTAGTGACACTGGCAACAGTACTAGTTCCAGACAATGCGTTCGTAAATACCATTAAGATGAAGTCTATTAAGGAAAATTGTGAACATTGTTTTTTTTTCCAGCTACATTATTTGATTGTGTCTTTTCAGGTCAATCTTCATTTGATCACTCGGTTGTTGCTGAGAATTTTCCTGCGCAGAAGGAAATACTAATTCTAGTGTATTCAAGGTTTAAAAAGGCTTCTAAAGTTTGTCATTTCCACGTTAAAATGTCAGACTTGATTTATCGTAACTAAAAATCTATCAACCCCTACAAAAAAGTAAATTAATTATAATCCACATAATAATTAACATTTCCTGTTACTGCAGGATTATTTTCCTGCTGTGAGAAACTGGTCAAATTAAGACAGTACATCTGTATTGCTATGAAATCGGTTTTATTTTACAAACATGCCACATACTGTTAAGCTCATCTGTTTTCTGTCTGTATGATTGTATATAATTGTGATTTTTATGAATATAAATACAACTTTGGATATGCTATAGAAATAATGGAGTCATTCTTGCAGATATAGCAGTCAACTTATTATTTTGTAAAATCTCTAGTACAGACTGAAACCTATAATGAAAATCATGGCAAAGACATAACATGAACACGACCTGTGTTTTAAGGCCTACACAAAACAAACTTAATGTTGGTAGGATCCTGGATATTATACCAATAACAAACATGGCATGCCGGCATGGGGAGAAAAGTCATGGGTCAGCAAACACCTTGCCTCTTTTTCCATCAGTTTGGAGCAAGGAGGTGTGATGATATACACAAAGAGAGACTCTCGCTGCATTGAAGAGGGGCGGGGGTGGTGGAAGAAGAATGTGAGCCTTCCTTCTCCCGATAGCTCACAGTTCTCCTCAGTTTGAGTTCTGACAGGGACAGCAACAGCTCAACTGCCATTATTTGGCTCTCCTCCCTCCTGTCTGGTGTCTGTTGCATAAAGAGAGGCAGCAATGAATTACAGGACAGTAGCAATGTACATGGAGATTGGCTGCTATGTGGTCTGTGTGAGTGGATGGATCCTGGTCTGCTCTACAATGCCACTGAGATCTGGACCTGATCTGAGGTAGACAGCATCGTTCTGACCACTTCAAATTACTTCTCCAATCTCTGGAAGGATTGCACTTCTGATCAGTGGCGGCTCCTGACAAAATTCTCAGGAGGGGCAATTTTTCTGATGATTTAGGTGACCTACACACGTGCACGAGTCCGTGCACGCGATTCCAGATATCTTTACCTCTGAATAAACTGCCTTTATTATACCATATCCACCCTGTCCAAAGTCTCTACTTGGTCTCAGTTCTCCAGTAAACTTGTGATTATCAACAGTACACAACGGTAACAAACAATTGGGGGAACTCACGGGGCAGATAGTAACCACTTAAAAGGAAGCGATTCCCAAACCTTCCATAACAAAGCCATCACCTACAGAGAGATGAACTTGGAGAAGAGTCCCCTAAGTAAGCTTGTCCTGGGCCTCTGTTCACAAACACAAACAGACCCCACACAGCCCCAGGACAACAACAACAACAACAACACAATTAGACCCAACCAAATCATGAGAAAACAAAAAGAGAATTACTTGACAGATTTACTTGGAAAGAACAAACAAAAAAACAGAGCAAACTAGAATGCTATTTGGCCCTAAACAGAGAGTACACCGTGGCAGAATACCTGACCACTGTGACTGACCCAAACTTAAGGAAAGCTTTGACTATGTACAGACTCAGTGACCATAGCCTTGCTATTGAGAAAGGCCGCCGTAGGCAGACCTGGCTCTCAAGAGAAGACAGGCTATGTGCACACTGCCCACAAAATGAGGTGGAAACTGAGCTGCACTTCCTAACCTCCTGCCAAATGTATGACCATATTAGAGACACATATTTCCCTCAGATTACAGCGATCCACAAAGAATTCAAAAACAAACCCAATTTTGATAAACTCCCTTATCTACTGGGTGAAAAACCACAGTGTGCCATCACAGCTGCAAGATTTGTGACCTGTTGCCACAAGAAAAGGGCAACCAGTGAAGAACAAACACCATTGTAAATACAACCCATATTTATGTTTATTTATTTTCCCATTTGTACTTTAACTATTTGCACATTGTAACAACACTGTATATATACATAATATGACATTTGAAATGTCTTTATTCTTTTGAAACTTCTGAGTGTAATGTTTACTGTTAATATTTATTGTTTATTTCACTTTTGTTTACTATCTACTTCCCTTGCTTTGGCAATGTTAACACACGTTTCCCATGCCAATAATAATAATAATAATAATAATAATAATAATATGCCATTTAGCAGACGCTTTTATCCAAAGCGACTTACAGTCATGCGTGCATACATTTTTGTGTATGGGTGGTCCCGGGGATCGAACCGACTACCTTGGCGTTACAAGCGCCGTGCTCTACCAGCTGAGCTACAGAGGACCACAGACCAATAAAGCCCTTAAATTGAATTGAAATGATAGTCGCAATGACACAGAAAGCAGTTCAATGTCGGGGTACAGAGTCGCTCTCTTACCAGGATCGCGGTCCGCTCTGACCAGGGTGAAGGTGGCCGGCTCCACTTCTCTGTCCGGGACTCTGTCATCCAGCCAAGTCTCCCAGCTGTATTGGGATTCAGCTGCCAGCAGCCTTTTCATTATTTAGTCCGTTCGTAGCGGGTATGTACACGATCAACAAGATCAGTCCAAAACCCACCACTGGAAATCCATGGTTGGCAGAATGTTTGTAAACTAAGTCTACAAATTAAAAACATAAAATAACGCCGCACTGCAGGTCACAACAGAGACGCTGCTAGCCGCCATTGTCTTAGTTACGTTCAACGTTACGTCACGTATGACGAAAGCGCGTAAGTGCAAGCCCACAGACACCCATAGAGAATGTATTGAAAGCTTTGAAATGTGAAAAAAATAGATTTTACATGACAGGCTATGAGAGACTTCTGGGCGATTTTCAACTTGACTGAAATCGCCCCAAAAACGGGCGGGGCCATTTGAAGCACGACTTTAGCCTGATTTGACATTTAGTGGCTGGCAGATCAGACGTGAACACTGATAACTGCTGTTGCCGTGATATAATTGATTAGAAAAAAAATCCCTTCCTTTTCCCGTTTGGCAGTGCGTCGCCCATATCGCCCTATTGAATAAGCCGTCCCTGCTTCTGATCCAACTGGAGTATCCGACTGCAAGGGTATCCCTTCCATGTTCGCACTGAACTGTAAATGTGAGATCCCCAGAGATTGGAAAGCTGCTGCGGTCATCCCCCTCTTCAAAGGGGGTGACACTCTAGATCCAAACTGTTACAGACCTATATCCATCCTGCCCTGCCTTTCTAAAGTTTTTGAAAGCCAAGTTAACAAACAGATCACCGACCATTTCGAATCACACCGTACCTTCTCCGCTATGCAATCCGGTTTCCGAGCTGGTCATGGGTGCACCTCAGCCACGCTCAAGGTCCTAAACGATATTATAACCGCGATCGATAATAGACAGTACTGTGCAGCCTTCTTCATCGACCTGGCCAAGGCTTTCGACTCTGTCAACCACCGCATTCTTATTGGCAGACTAAATAGCCTTGGTTTCTCAAATGACTGCCTCGCCTGGTTCACCAACTACTTCTCAGATAGAGTTCAATGTGTCAAATCGGAGGGCCTGTTGTCTGGACCTATGGCAGTCTCTATGGGGGTGCCACAGGGTTCAATTCTTGGGCCGACTCTTTTCTCTGTGTATATCAATGATGTCGCTCTTGCTGCTGGTGATTCTCAGATCCACCTCTACGCAGACGACACCATTTTGTATACATCTGGCCCTTCATTGGACACTGTGTTAACAAACCTCCAAACGAGCTTCAATGCCATGCAACACTCCTTCCGTAGCCTCCAACTGCTCTTAAACACAAGTAAAACTAAATGCATGCTCTTCAATCGAACGCTGCTGGCACCCGCCCACCCGACTAGAATCATTATTCTCGACGGGTCTGACCTAGAGTATGTGGACAACTACAAATACCTAGGTGTCTGGTTAGACTGTAAACTCTCCTTCCAGACCCACATTAAGCATCTCCAATCCAAAGTTAAATCCAGAATCGGCTTCCTATTTCGCAACAAAGCCTCCTTCACTCATGCTGCCAAACATGCCCTCGTAAAACTGACTATCCTACCGATCCTTGACTTCGGCGATGTCATTTACAAAATAGCCTCCAACACTCTACTCAGCAAATTGGATGTAGTCTATCACAGTGCCATCCGTTTTGTCACCAAAGCCCCATATACTACCCACCACTGTGACCTGTACGCTCTTGCTGGCTGGTCCTCACTACATATTTGTCGCCAAACCCACTGGCTCCAGGCCATCTATAAATCACTGCTAGGCAAATCCCCGCCTTATCTTAGCTCATTGGTCACCATAGCAACACCCACCCGTAGTATGCGCTCCAGCAGGTATATCTCACTGGTCATCCCCAAAGCCAACACCTTCTTTGGCCGCCATTCCTTCCAGTTCTCTGCTGCCAATGACTGGAACGAACTGCAAAAATCTCTGATGCTGGAGACCAGTGGCGGCTCCTGAAAAAATTCTCAGGAGGGGCAATTTTTCTGATGATTTAGGTGACCTACACACGTGCACGAGTCCGTGCACGCGATTCCAGATATCTTTACCTCTGAATAAACTGCCTTTATTATACCATATCCACCCTGTCCAAAGTCTCTACTTGGTCTCAGTTCTCCAGTAAACTTGTGATTATCAACAGTACACAACGGTAACAAACAATTGGGGGAACTCACGGGGCAGATAGTAACCACTTAAAAGGAAGCGATTCCCAAACCTTCCATAACAAAGCCATCACCTACAGAGAGATGAACTTGGAGAAGAGTCCCCTAAGTAAGCTTGTCCTGGGCCTCTGTTCACAAACACAAACAGACCCCACACAGCCCCAGGACAACAACAACAACAACAACACAATTAGACCCAACCAAATCATGAGAAAACAAAAAGAGAATTACTTGACACATTGGAAAGAACAAACAAAAAAACAGAGCAAACTAGAATGCTATTTGGCCCTAAACAGAGAGTACACCGTGGCAGAATACCTGACCACTGTGACTGACCCAAACTTAAGGAAAGCTTTGACTATGTACAGACTCAGTGACCATAGCCTTGCTATTGAGAAAGGCCGCCGTAGGCAGACCTGGCTCTCAAGAGAAGACAGGCTATGTGCACACTGCCCACAAAATGAGGTGGAAACTGAGCTGCACTTCCTAACCTCCTGCCAAATGTATGACCATATTAGAGACACATATTTCCCTCAGATTACAGCGATCCACAAAGAATTCGAAAACAAACCCAATTTTGATAAACTCCCTTATCTACTGGGTGAAAAACCACAGTGTGCCATCACAGCTGCAAGATTTGTGACCTGTTGCCACAAGAAAAGGGCAACCAGTGAAGAACAAACACCATTGTAAATACAACCCATATTTATGTTTATTTATTTTCCCATTTGTACTTTAACTATTTGCACATTGTAACAACACTGTATATATACATAATATGACATTTGAAATGTCTTTATTCTTTTGAAACTTCTGAGTGTAATGTTTACTGTTAATATTTATTGTTTATTTCACTTTTGTTTACTATCTACTTCCCTTGCTTTGGCAATGTTAACACACGTTTCCCATGCCAATAATAATAATAATAATAATAATAATAATAATATGCCATTTAGCAGACGCTTTTATCCAAAGCGACTTACAGTCATGCGTGCATACATTTTTGTGTATGGGTGGTCCCGGGGATCGAACCGACTACCTTGGCGTTACAAGCGCCGTGCTCTACCAGCTGAGCTACAGAGGACCACAGACCAATAAAGCCCTTAAATTGAATTGAAATGATAGTCGCAATGACACAGAAAGCAGTTCAATGTCGGGGTACAGAGTCGCTCTCTTACCAGGATCGCGGTCCGCTCTGACCAGGGTGAAGGTGGCCGGCTCCACTTCTCTGTCCGGGACTCTGTCATCCAGCCAAGTCTCCCAGCTGTATTGGGATTCAGCTGCCAGCAGCCTTTTCATTATTTAGTCCGTTCGTAGCGGGTATGTACACGATCAACAAGATCAGTCCAAAACCCACCACTGGAAATCCATGGTTGGCAGAATGTTTGTAAACTAAGTCTACAAATTAAAAACATAAAATAACGCCGCACTGCAGGTCACAACAGAGACGCTGCTAGCCGCCATTGTCTTAGTTACGTTCAACGTTACGTCACGTATGACGAAAGCGCGTAAGTGCAAGCCCACAGACACCCATAGAGAATGTATTGAAAGCTTTGAAATGTGAAAAAAATAGATTTTACATGACAGGCTATGAGAGACTTCTGGGCGATTTTCAACTTGACTGAAATCGCCCCAAAAACGGGCGGGGCCATTTGAAGCACGACTTTAGCCTGATTTGACATTTAGTGGCTGGCAGATCAGACGTGAACACTGATAACTGCTGTTGCCGTGATATAATTGATTAGAAAAAAAATCCCTTCCTTTTCCCGTTTGGCAGTGCGTCGCCCATATCGCCCTATTGAATAAGCCGTCCCTGCTGGAGACTCTTATCTCCCTCACTAACTTTAAGCATCAGTTGTCAGAGCACCTTACTGATCACTGCACCTGTACACAGCCCATCTGAAATTAGCTCACCCAACTACCTCATCCCCATATTGCACATCATCTCTTGCACATCTATCATTCCAGTGTTAAAACTAATTGTAATTATTTTGCACTATGGCCTATTTATTGCCTTACCTCCATAACTTGCTACATTTGCACACACTGTATATATATTTCTGTTGTATTTTTGACTTTATGTTTTGTTTTACCCCATATGTAACTCTGTGTTGTTGTTTTTAATCGCACTGCTTTGCTTTATCTTGGCCAGGTCGCAGTTGTAAATGAGAACTTGTTCTCAACTGGCTTACCTTGTTAAATAAAGGTTAAAAAAAAAAAAAAAAGCAATTGAAGTCAACATGGGCCAGCATCCCTGTGGAACACTTTTGACAGCTTGTAGAGTCCGTGCCCCGACGAATTGAGGCTGTTCTGCTCTGAGTGTTCTTAATGTTTTGTCCACTCATACATACACACACATGTATGTATGTATATATGTATGTATACACACATATATATACACACACATATATATATATATATATATATATAAAAGCTATTTTGTATTCTATTCAAATTGCTGTGTAGCCTTAAACTCTAAATTACACTGTGAAGGTATTAATCAATGGTCAACTTTTTTCCATTGTAGGCTTTGTATTGCATCCCATGTCCTGAAATAAAACATCCCAAACATAGATTATCATACTTTCCAGTCATTCGTAGCCCTACCTAACCTTAATCATACTTGATTTCCATTGCACCCCCATATAAATAAGCATCATCATCAGTTTAGGCTACAGTAGAGAGAAATATTTAATTGTTGGCTGAGCCTTCTATTCAAAACCGTGACTGAGCTTGCCTACAGCTAGATTGATGTATTTTACATAGCGTCTGGCCCCTCATTGAATGACACGCACTTACTGCTTACTTTTGTGCTGCCGTGGCTCGACTCCGTTGAACAAACAGTGGGGGGCGGAGTTTTCCAACAAATGGCCCAATCAGAGCAACCCACGATCGGTGGACTCACTTTATGTCTGGTTGGATAACTGATTCCCTTTAGCTGTCATCCAGCTAATATGGGACTGTCAAGTATTTCGTGAGAGTTTCATGTTTGAATTATCGTAGGTAGTATTTTCCTTTATTTCTAAGAGCTTAATTATGGTTGCAATAAACCAAGTTGTGCGCAAAATTTTAAGTTATGTTCCTTTTCTTCTTGTTTTGATTGACCTGCGATACGAAGGTAAGCATTCTCAGACAATGGATTTCAACCTATATTTATTACAGTTATGTTACCAGGTCCAGTAGCCTGCCCTACAGACAGTAGCTACAAAAATATACTAGCTAGTTTGTTAGTTAGTGTAGATAACTAGCTAGGTTAGCGGTTTGAGTTTCAGGGGAGATAGCCTTACAAACTAGTTAGCTAACAATAGTATGTGCTTCATGCATTCCATCATTTGTGTTGGCCTTCACGTGCATACAGTACTTTGTTCGCTAGCTAGCTAGTTACCTAGCTTGCTAACGTTCTACAACGGAGTCAAATGTACATGGCTACAATGTTGTTACTATCACAGCTGTCACCTAGGTGCTTTTAGCAACGCGGGTGTATTTACATACACTAACGTTAGCGTTGCTTTCAATTGTATTGGGTTGCACAAATAGTCCGTGGGAATACAATTATATTTAAACTTATTGTACTGGTGGGCAGGGCGACTGGTCATTACGAAGGGGGGAATATGAGACAAAATATCGTATTATTAAACATAGTTTCCAAACGTGGGTCTTGTTGTAGACCAACTTCCTGCTTACCTTATGTCAAAGTAAAAGTCCTGCACGTGCGCCATGTGTGGACAAAAAATGAATAACTTGTGTGGGATTTATTTTTATTTTTTTACATGAGGTAAGCAGAGAAGAAGTGGGTCTACAACAAACCCAAGTTTGGAAAGTGTTTAATAATACGATCCTTTAGATATTGTCTCAAATTTCCCCCTCATAATAACCAACCGACATGCCCACCGGCACAGTAAGTTGAGATGGAATTGTTTTTAACCAGGGGAGAATGACTGCCCTCTCTCGTTGAAGCCATGGCAATCTTAGTGGTCAGTTCGTGTAAATTAAAAAATGTTTCGAAGACAATCATGGTATAAATAATTGTTTTTAATACACCGGATGTATGTCCTTGAACCGATTGTTTTAAAACCGATTGTTTAAAACCGCATATAAGGATAATTTAGTTGCTAATGGCAGCCTGCAGTACCCCTGTCGGCCTTCAACTTGAGTTACTCAATGAGAGGGGCAGCACTGAGCTAGCCTGCAACATCACTTCCTGGAGTAGCGCAAACAACGGATGTAATGTCTCCATGAGAAGCCATCTTAACAGACTTCATTTAGCTTCAATGCGCTATTGAGTCTTCACATAGGAATGAATGGTGTCACGTGATTGATGGCAGTCATTGTATTTAACTTCTGGCTTCCCATGGACTGTTTTTGTGCAACCCAATACAATTGAAAGCAACTCTAGTGCAGTGTTTCCCAACCAGGGGTACTAGGACTATCCACAGGGGGTACTTGAAAAAACCCATGAGACAATAGTCTTACTGGTCAAATGCACATGAAGGGGTACTTCAGGGGTACTCAGGGCAGAGCAAAAAACTGTTGGTGGTACAGTAACCGAAAAAGGTTGGGAACCACTGCGCTAGTGAATGGAAACTTTAGTCATTAGTGGAGTAGCTAGCTACTTTGTATTTTACATTTTAGTCATTTAGCAGATGCTCTTATCCAGAGTGAGTGCATACATTTTTCATACTGGCCCCCAGTGGGAATCGAACCCACAACCCTGGCGTTGCAAGCGCCATGCTCTACCAACTGAGCTACATTGGAAGACTAACTACAAGGTGGAAATACTGTAATCTGCACAAACTGTGGTTACTTACATTTTGGATGACATTCTCCTTGGTTTCAGGGGTATGTGGCAAGGATGGAAGTTTGGAGAACCATTTGGAGATGGGGAAGAAACTCCTTGCTGCTGGACAGCTGGCTGATGCACTCTCTCACTTCCATGCTGCTATTGGTCAGTACTAAAGGATTTAAATTGTTGACAGTAGAATCAAATTGAATATTCATAATGTGCACTTTTTAGTAAAGTAAAGAGGGTTTTATGATTTGTGTAAAACCTCTTTACTTCTACTTTATAATTTCTATCAATATATAGTATAACTATAGTATAAATAATATATATTTATTGTTTTGCCATTGCCTGTGTTTGATCATGCTCAGATGGGGATCCAAAGAACTACATGGCCTACTACAGGAGAGCTACAGTCTACCTGGCCATGGGCAAAATCTAAATCTGCTCTGCCGGATCTGAGCAAAGTAATTGAACTCAAACCAGACTTCACATCGGTGAGTCCACTGTCTACTTTTAGTAGCAGAAAAATAAAGGGGAAGAGTGTTTATCTTACTGTTTCAAGGTCAGTGTATGCTTGAAACATTACAAACTGCTGTTAATAAACTAGTGTTTAAAGTCTGTTTAGACTAGAGGAAGACTCACTTTAGTTCATTTCATTAAAAACAACCACAAACGCACTCTTATCTCGTCTCTCACTCTTCCAACAGGCAAGACTTCAGAGAGGCAATCTACTCCTGAAGCAGGGGAGACTAGATGAAGCAGAGAGCGACTTTAAGAAAGTGGTAAGTAATGTCAACATACAGTAACAATCTCACTGGAAGTGATTTGTTCAATGGCAGAATTAAGGAGTAGCAGCCAGGAGATGTCAGTATTGACCAGTGGAAACAGCTCCGTCTACAGTACAGTACATCTAAAGGGAAACGATTTGATCAGATTAATGCACTTGCACTAATGTAGATATTGGCTTTGTTGTTTGCCATATTCATTGGCAAATAGCCTAAGGCTAAGATTTAACAATACCTACTTGAACAGGAATAATGATAATGCAATACAGTTATGAAATTGGTATTTTACTTTATAATTTATATCAGACATATTCAATAAGCCAAATTAACAATGGAAATGTGAAATTGTGTTCAGTAGGACAGACAATGTACAAACCAAGCTTAATTAGATGTCTAGTCATCTCTCCTCTTGCCCGTCAGGGACAGTTTTCAGGTGCCCATTAAGGTAGAAGAGTGAAAATCACTGATAGATTTTCCATTAGTATTACCATTCTGCCCAGAGCATCATAACATTGCCAGAAGACATAAATGCCCTTGCAGTTCTACTTTTAATTATTTGGTATTCTCGAGTAGGTATACCCAGTAGAACATGCAGTGGAAATCTTGACGTAGGCTAATTCCTCTAGCAGTAGAGTTTGATTGTCAGTCACTTGTGTCACCTCAGGTATTGTCCTGGGTCTACAGCCCCTTGGGCCCTGGCCATTTATACATCCCTCTTCAGATACAGGGAGGGGAAGCAATAAGGAACACTATGCGTTAGAATGTAGAATAGCAAGATTGAGATAGTCAGTGTTTTTGGTTGGCTTTAAATTGATTATTCAAGGACACTTCCCAGGTGGCTTACCAGGCAAAATGTAGAGCCGTTGTAATGCTGCTCTTTAAAATGCTAGTAGAAGTAGATTTAAGAGACCGCTCAAGGTGTGGAAAGTTCCATAATTGAAGTCAACTATCATGCTCCTGCTATTGGGCGGCACTGAGCCATAGTCACAGTTGGAGGGCAATATGCATTTGGACCTGTACAGTTTTATGTGTACCATATTTTGCCAGTATGTTGTCGACGGCTCTGGCTAGAGGTGCATGCTGTCCTGCTGCTTCAGCAGTCTATTACACTGGCATGTTGTAATGCATCACATTTATTCATCACTTCCCTGCCAGGGCTGAGCTAGCAGTAAATCCTAATAGGATAGCCAAGTCTATTTGTAACGTATGTCCCATTAACTAAGATTGCTATCATGGAGATGATGACCAATATGATGGGGATGACTGGTGGATAATGGGTTCAGGGATCAGGACTGCAAGTAAAGGGAGGAGTGCTAGGTAAAGCTTTTAAGAATCAGTTATTATAAGTGTATTTACAATAGAGGGTTCATCCTTTCAATGAATGTGTTACTTTCTTTCAAGTAAATAGGCTGTAGTATGTGGCCTGCTTCCATACCTTTCTATTGGTTAAAATTAATTGTTCTATCTTGTAGCTCAAGTCGAACCCTAGTGACAAAGATGAGAAGGAGGCCCAAAGTCAGCTCATGAAATCTGATGAAATCCAGAGGTGGGTGACTCAGTCACGAGCTAACTTTGACCGCAAGGATTACATCACCGCTGCGGCCCACCTGGACTTAATTATTGAAGTGAGTGGCACACCTGACCCAACTCCTAATGTCATCAGAGATATAGCAAGTCCTGCTAGTACACTATGATCTGTGGCTGTTCTTCCTGAGACTAGATGTTGTCACTTTCACCACTAACCATAAATAACATTATACCAAATCTGTTTACATGTATTGAGCTGTACTGTTTCCCTGCCAGACGTGTGTGTGGGACGTGAGCTCCAGAGAGCTGCGGGCAGAGTGCTTCATCCAGATGGGAGAGATGGGCAAGGCCATCAGTGACCTGACAGCTGCCTCCAAACTGAAGAGTGACAACACCCAGGCCTTCTACAAACTCAGCACCATCTACTACCACCTGGGAGACCACGAAATGTCCCTCAAGTAAGACTGTCTGTGAATGTGAGATTGACACACGGTACATTTGGACAAAGCTGCATCCCTAGATGTAATTCATTGAGAGGATGCCTGACTGGTTCTACTGGTTCTGTTTCCTCTCTGATGTCGCCAGTGAGGTTCGAGAATGTCTGAAGCTGGACCCAGACCATAAGCAGTGTTACAGCCACTACAAACAAGTGAAGAAGCTCAACAAACAGATCCAGTCTGCAGAGGAGTTGATCCAGCAGCAGAGGTGTGTGTGTGTGTGTCCCCGTGTGTGTGTGCAGTAAGAATATACCCTTGGATCAGCAGAGATACTGTATATATCCTATAAATTATTGATTTATCCTCCCCCAATAAGCTATTAAAAGCAGACTGTCTCTCTAAATGGATCTGACATCACATTTAGCATCATCAGCTACTAGAAATGCAGATGTCACAGATGGAGTCATATAGGTCTGGGGGTGTAGTGATATTCTCTGAGTAGGTTGTGTAAGAGTAAAATCCTGATGGCAAGAAGTCACTAAGACTCCTGTTTTACTTGTAGGTATGGAGATGCAGTGAGTAAATATGAGTCAGTGATGAAGACTGAGCCAAATGTGCCCCAGTACTCACACCATGCCAAGGAGCGCATCTGCCACTGTCTGGCACAGGTATGACTATCTGTGTAATGTAGATTTGATGGGACAATAAAGCTTTTTGAATTACAAATGAAATCTAGACATTTTGTGTATTTTGAGTGAGTTTGGGGTTGTAATTTGAGCATGTGTCCTTGTTCAGGAGCAGCAGGATGTAAGCAGAGCCATCACAGTGTGCAGTGAGGTCCTTCAGTCTGACCCTCACAATGTAAACGTGTTGAAGGACAGAGCAGAGGCCTACCTACTGGACGAACAGTACGAGGAAGGTAATGTCTAATTAATATTTAATAATTGAATTGATTTATTTAGCGATTTTCCAGTGCTTAAAGCACTTTTACATAGTATGGGAGGAACTCGCCTCTTCTCTAATGGCATCTGACTTTTTCCTGACATGGACGAGTCTTTGTCCATACAACATGCCGATCAGTGGAATCTTCTCAGGTTTGCTGTTCAACATTGTCTTGGCAGTTGTTGTTTTTTGGAGTGGTGTTGAGGGTTTGTTGATAACCGATGAGTTATTCTGAAGGATGAAAGTAGAGGGCACTGTTTTACTATCAGAGTAACATTAATCTATAGTCTGTATGGAAAGCAATTATTTGTGAGAAACTGATTGCTACTACAATAAAAAAGGATAGGAGGAAAAATATGTACTAACTTTAGTTTTCTTTCTGTTCAACAACATGTAGTGATTTAGTTAGCCCAAAGTGATGCAATATTATTATAAATGCAGAGGGAGCAATTTCCCCTCTGGTCTGGACCCTAGTAAGCAGTAAGCACAACCTGGACCACTCGTTAATCAAGCCGCTAGCAATTCAGTGGTGGCAGAGCCAACACACACACACACACACACACACACACACACACACACACACACACACACACACACACACACACACACACACACACACACACACACACACACAGGCTCAGTGGTGCCATCTGGGCCGAGCCAAATGGAAGGGACCTTAACACTTTGCCAAGTCTTACCTGTGGTCTCTGGCTCTGGAGTAGTGTTGCTACAGTGTAGGTGTGTACTTCCAAATCCCTGAAATGTACTCTACTGCTACGTTAGACTAACAATTCTCACTACAAATCATTGAAAAGCTAGTCATGGATGTAGAATTTAAATAGCAAATTATACAAGAGTGCTAACATTTTACAAGGTGGGAAGTGTGAATGTAATTGTTCCAAAACAATCAGCTGATTAGAAAGCTTCCTCCTAGCCTCAGAGAGGAGGCAGTGAGTGTGTGTTTGCAGTGTATAAATAGCGTGGCATCTGTGGCTGGCTACGATGCGGCTCAGGCAGCTTCCATGTAGCCACAGGCGATCTGGGCAGTCAGAACTGCGCGCGCTACCCGCACCAGGGCTCCATCTCCTACACCAGCCTAGCAACCGCAGGGGATGTTGACTGGGCAGCAGAGGAGGAGTAAATTGTCATTAAGTCACTTTATCTGCTTAGGCGTGAACACAGAGAGTGGCGGGTGGGTGGGAGCATCACAGACTCAGTCATGTGGGCTTTTAAACTGTCAGGCTCCACAGGGCGCAGTAAACTGCAGCATCTCTTAAATCCTCCCTCCCTCTTGCCCAGCTGCCCGTCCGCCACACACCTCAATACGCCTCACAGAGTACGGCTGCCTTCAACCACCGCACGCCACCTTCTAGTCTACACAGGCTGCTGGAATCGATGCACAGCACACTGAACTAAAGATGTTTGGGTTTACTCCATGACTAGACAGCATATAATACAGATCTGGTTAATCACCAGAACCAGACTTCCGATTAGCCGTCTTTATTCTTGATTGTACTGCAAAGATAATGGTGGTATTGTACAGACCCCCCCCCCCCCCCCCCCCCCCATTTAATACATGTAGGTACTGTATTATAGGTTATTTATGGGTGTTTACTCTCTCTGCAGCTATCAAGGACTATGAGACTGCCCGTGAGCACAGTGAGAATGACCGGCAGATCAAGGAAGGGCTTGAGAAAGCACAGCGCCTCCTCAAACAGTCCCAGAAGAGGGACTACTACAAGATCCTGGGAGTCAAGAGGTGCATTACAAACAGCTGGGGTGCTCTGCTAGTCATAGCTCATGTAGAATACTGTAAAGCAGAACGGAATTGTATTACCTCTGTTTGACCCTGTCGCAGGACTGCCCAGAAGAAGGAGATCGTAAAGGCCTACAGGAAACAGGCACAGCAGTGGCACCCAGACAACTTCCAGGACCCTGTAGAGAAGAAGAAGGCAGAGAAGAAGTTCATTGACATTGCTCAGGCAAAGGAAGTGCTCACTGATCCAGGTAAATGTCCTATGGGTAGAGCTTACTCCCCCCCTCAGCAGCTGTTCACTAACCAGACATCAAGTGGATGTCAATGAAGACTGAAGCAGACCGATGTATAGGGTCAGATATACTGGAGTTCATCATTCACCACTCTGTACATGCCCAAGTTCTCCATAGTGCATTTAACGCAGCAGACATGTTTATCCTTCATCTACAAGCCAATACTTTCATGACATTCCATATAAATTGTCACTTAGTACCCTTCTAGGACTTATTTTTGCATACTGTATGTATCACCCTCTTTGTGCTAGATGGTCAAACCTTCAATTTGCGCTTTAGTTGTGTTGATTTATCAGTACCCTCGTCACGTGGTTGGGAGGACTCAGGGCTGTCTACCTACCCTTTCAATTAATATTAAATGGTGTCTCCTGCCAACTCCTGTCATATGGATGAAAAACCAGCCACATGTCAAATATGCATAGTGTTCTCAACTGCTCTCGAAGCATTCTTTCACAGTTTCAAAACGCTGAATGCCTCCACTCAGTCCATTGTTGCTCTTCGTTATGTGGCGTTAACATTGCTGTGTCTGTCTGTGTGCCTGTACAGAGATGAGACAGAAGTTTGACCAGGGCGAGGACCCCATGGACCCAGAGAGCCAGCAGGGAGGACACCATCATCAGAACTTCCACAGCGGTTTCCAGGGCTTTAACCCCTTCGGCTCCGGACCGTTCAACTTCAAATTCAACTACCAGTGAGCCCTAAGAGAGGAGCTTATTCGTGTTCATCCAGTATGGCTGTAGCTTAACCTCCCTCGTTCAGGGAGAGCACAATTACCTTCATGATGACATGTCTGAGACAACTTGAATAGATTAAAGATGTCCTTGCTTTTGAATGATACATTTTTGGAGCTACGTTCACTCTGATGCAACTCTATGAATCTTTTCTAATCTTTGCAGCAACGCCTATCTTCAGGGATCTCACAATTGAGTTCTGGGTTAATTCCAAAGCGACCACCTTTGTGGTGTACACTGAAAATTGGTATCCATTCCTAAGACTAATGTGTACATAGATACAGTACTATTTTTATATGAATGGAGTCATTCTGAATTGTAAATAAATATATATTTATGCTTATAGTGTCATGGCATTCCTTTTTGGAATTCAATAATCAAATACCTAGGTGTCTGGTTAGACTGTAAACTCTCCTTCCAGACCCACATTAAGCATCTCCAATCCAAAGTTAAATCTAGAATCGGCTTCCTATTTCGCAACAAAGCCTCCTTCACTCATGCTGCCAAACATGCCCTCGTAAAACGGACTATCCTACCGATCCTTGACTTCGGCGATGTCATTTACAAAATAGCCTCCAACACTCTACTCAGCAAATTGGATGTAGTCTATCACAGTGCCATCCGTTTTGTCACCAAAGCCCCATATACTACCCACCACTGTGACCTGTACGCTCTTGCTGGCTGGTCCTCACTACATATTCATCGCCAAACCCACTGGCTTTAGGCCATCTATAAATCACTGCTAGGCAAATCTCCGCCATATCTTAGCTCATTGGTCACCATAGCAACACCCACCCGTAGTATGCGCTCCAGCATGTATATCTCACTGGTCATCCCCAAAGCCAACACCTCCTTTGGCCGCCATTCCTTCCAGTTGTCTGCTGCCAATGACTGGAACGAACTGCAAAAATCTCTGAAGCTGGAGACTCTTATCTCCCTCACTAACTTTAATCATCAGTTGTCAGAGCACCTTACCGATCACTGCACCTGTACACAGCCCATCTGAAATTAGCCCACCCAACTACCTCATCCCCATATTGTTATTTATTTTGCTCATTTGCACCCCAGTATCTCTATTTGCACATCATCTTCTGCACATCTATCACTCCAGTGTTAATACTAATTGTAATTATTTTGCACTATGGCCTATTTATTGCCTTACCTCCATAACTTGCTACATTTGCACACACTGTATATAGATTTTCTGTTGTATTTTTGACTTTACGTTTTGTTTTACCCCATATGTAACTTGTTTTTATTGAACTGCTTTGCTTTATCTTGGCCAGGTCGCAGTTGTAAATGAGAACTTGTTCTCAACTGGATTACCTGGTTAAATAAAGGTGAAATAAAATAAATAAATAAATAAATACAAATGTCCCATTATACATTTACAGATCTTCGGAAAGTATTCAGACCCCTTGACTTTTTCCACATTTTGTTAGGTTACAGCCTTATTCTAAAATTGATTACATTGTTTTTATTCCCTCAATCTATACACTAATGACAAAGCAAAAACAGGATTTTAGAAATGTTTGCTAATTTATTTTAAAAAAATGAAATATCACATTTACATAAGTATTCAGACCCTTTACTCAGTACTTTGTTGAAGCACCTTTGGCAGCGATTACAGCCTTGAGTCTTCTTGAGTATGATGCTACAAGCTTGGCACACCTGTATTTGGAGAGTTTATCCCATTCTTCTCTGCAGATTCTCTCAAGCTCTGTCAGGTTGGATGGGGAGCGTTGCTGCACAGCTATTTTCTGGTCTCTCCAGAGATGTTAGATCGGGTTCAAGTCCGGGCTCTGGCTGGGCCACTCAAGGACATTCAGAGACTTGTCCTGAAGCCACTCCTGCATTGTCTTGACTGTGTGCTTAGGGGTCGTTGTCCTGTTGGAAGGTGAACCTTCGCCCCCAGTCTGAGGTCCTGAGCGCTCTGGAGCAGGTTTTCATCAAGGATCTCTATATACTTTGCTCCGTTTATCTTTGCCTCGATCCTGTCTAGTCTCCCAGTCCTTGCCGCTGAAAAACATCCCCACAGCATGATGCTGCCACCACCATGCTTCACCGTAAAGATGGTGCCAGGTTTCCTCTAGAAGTGACGCTTGGCAATTCAAGCCAAAGAGTTCAATCTTTCATCAAACCAGAGAATCTTGTTTCTCATGGTCAGAGTCCTTTAGGTGCCTTTTGGCAAACTCTAAGTGGGCTGTCGTGCCTTTTACTGAGGAGTGGCTTCCGTCTGGCTACTCTACCATAAAGGCCTGATTGGTGGAGTGCAGTAGAGATGGTTGTCCTAATGGATGGTTGTTCTTCTGGAAGGTTCTCCAAGCTCCACAGAGGAGCTCTAGAGCTCTGTCAGAGTGACCATCGGGTTCTTGGTCACCTCCCTGAATAAGGCTCTTCTCCCCCGATTGCTCAGTTTGGCCGGGCGGGCAGCTCCAAACTTCTTCCATTTAAGAATGGAGGCCACTGTGTTCTTGGGGACCTTCAATGCTGCAGACATTTTTTGGTACCCTTCCCCAGATCTGTGCCTCGATACAATCCTGTCTCGGAGCTCTACGGACAATTCCTTCAACCTCATGGCTTGGTTTTTGCTCTGACATGCAACTGTGGGACCTTATATAGACAGGTGTGCCTTTCCAAATTACATTACATTACATTTAAGTCATTTAGCAGACGCTCTTATCCAGAGCGACTTACAGTTAGTGAATACATATTATTATTTTTTACACTGGCCCCCGTGGGAAACAAACCCACAACCCTGGCGTTGCAAACGCCATGCTCTATCAACTGAGCTACATCCCTGCCGGCCATTCCCTCCCCTACCCTGGACGACGCTGGGCCAATTGTGCGCCGCCCATGAGTCTCCCGGTCGCGGCCAGCTGCGACAGAGCCTGGATTCGAACCAGGATCTCTAGTGGCACAGTTAGCACTGCGATGCAGTGCCTTAGACCACTGCGCCACTCAGGAGACAAATCATGTCCAATCAATTGAATTTACCACAGGTGGACTCCAATCAAGTTGTAGAAACATCTCAAGGAGGATCAATGGCAACAGGATGCACCTGAGCTCAATTCAAGTGTCCTAGCAAAAGGTCTGAATACTTATGTAAATAAAGTATTTATGTAAAAATTTTTACACATTTGCAAAAATGTCTAAACCTGTTTTCGCTTTGTCATTATGGGGTATTATGTGTAGATTGCTGAGGATTTTTATTTGTTTTATCCATTTTAGAATTAGAATAAGGCTGTAACTTAACAAAATGTGGAAAAATTCAAGGGGTCTGAATACTTTCTGAAGGCACTGTAGATGAACTGCTCAATATGCAAGTGCTGACTGTAAATTGAACAAAGTGCTTTTCAATAATCTCTCCTTTCTCCCGAAGTGTGCACTTCTTAAATTCTCCCCCCCCTGCAAGAATGGATACGCTGCTACCCTGGATGCGCCTAGGCCACCCCCTGGATGACAAAGAAGTGAGCAGGGTAAAACCAAAGATGGTGGTATATAGTATACTGACTCAAAGGCAGGGAACATATCGACAACAATAGTACCATTTTGAGTTACAAGGGATATGGTTGAGTCATGAATAGGTTACGTTGCCAAATAGCTGTCTGCCTAGACACAAGTCACTGTCTGAGCATTCGCAAACAGCGTCTGCCATATCACGGCATGTATAAACTACTAGACATTTGTCTCAAGAGTTGCAAAATACTCAATAACGTGTTTTTATTGAGGGGCGTAAAGAACACATTTGAATAGTGAATGTCCGACTCTAGCAACTTAGGCCTACAATCGTTTTTATGTAGGGGAAATGGCACGATACAGTTACACGTGATGTCGGGGCTCATCTCACAGTGACCTCAATAACCAAATATTCTGTTTGGGGAGTGCAGAGACTGCAAGAAAAATTTGAACGGATTGTGATAACCAGTAAAAAAAAAAAAAAAAAAGCCAGGGCACATCACACTCACACCTCCATCAATCACACTCTGACAATGGAAGTTCATATACATAATGAGGTTTTGGTAGCACAGACCGATTTTATTCCTCACACCTGAAATTGACAAAGACAAGAAACACCTTCATTTGACACACAGTGAGGTGAAAAGCTGAGCTTTTTAAGAGCAAGCTCCCTGCTATTGGCTGTTAAGACAAGACAGTGACAGGTATAAAATGTGTTTTGATAATGCATCAACACCTATTTCATTCCTGAGAAGATTTGCTGTACATTTCAAGTTATTGAAAAATGCAGTCTAAAATGTAACATACTTTAACCAACAAACACAAGGTATGTAAACATTGATAACTTAATAATTTTAGATTGTACCGTACTGTGATGTACGTATACTTGCAAATGGATAGTGAAATGCTGAGATCCATGTCCTACTCCCAGTGATTACAATAAAGGTTCTCTATCTGGCAACAAAGCATTTGTAGTAATGCATCACTTGGCAGAGATTTGAAATGGTTGGTGAAGCAATCATTCAGACAGACAGCATTGTGGGCCTCGGACCACAGTGTGTGTAGTGTAAGCTACAACCCCTATACAGCAGAGTACATTAATGCACAGATATGAGCCATGTGAGCCCTCATTGCAATTGTTTGCCAGTAGTACAATAAATCAATTATCAAAATGTTGTAACATTGTCTCCAAGCGCTGATTCTACAACTTTGGTTGGGGCATTTAAGTCAATGGCAATATCGCACCAATCAATAACAGACGAACCAAAAGGCCCATTAGCAGCCTACATTACCAGGCAATTTAGATGTAGCTTGGTGCGCAATAATGCTAAGAATGATCTCATGAAAATTCAAATGTAAGCTGATCTTAAAGTCAGCTTATGAATGTGCCGCATTCATTTGATTCTTTGCATACAGGATCAGAGCAATCATTTCAAATGCCTTTTACAGACTGTAAATGACTTACACCAATCTTGACTTCCTCTTAACCCTTTATACTTCTTTACATAAGAGAAGACCATGAAGCAAACTACTGTCCATAAAGTTGATATTAAACCACAAGAAAGGGTTACATTAAATGATTTCCTTCATAAGACACATACTCTGGATAGAAAACTTGTACGAAATCTTTAAAAAAGATTTTCTCTTGTCCCTCTGTCTTTTCCAATGGAAGGCATAATACTTCTTGGCTAAGTAAAGTACGTTTGTGGGAAATGTACATCATCTTTGTAGTCTTCAAGCTTCACAGGAGAATTAGGTGCAAATATGCCTCTCCTCTTCAGCAGTGTGGGCAGGCGCTAGAGTTCATCACGTTCGCTTCCTGGAAGGTAAACAAGGGTGAGAAATGACTGCTGTTATCTGGTACCGTTTAGACCTGTCAGGACATTGGGTTGTATTTGGGGTAACTGTAAATAAGTTGACAAAAACGAAATAAAAAAGCTAAAATAAAGGGGGAAAATACATTGATACAGTGGAGAAAAAAAGTATTTAGTCAGCCACCAATTGTGCAAGTTCTCCCACTTAAAAAGATGAGAGAGGCCTGTAATTTTCATCATAGGTACACGTCAACTATGACAGACAAAATGAGAGAAAAAAATCCAGAAAATCACATTGTAGGATTTTTAATGAATTTATTTGCAAATTATGGTGGAAAATAAGTATTTGGTCAATAACAAAAGTTTCTCAATACTTTGTTATATACCCCTTGTTGGCAATGACACAGGTCAAACGTTTTCTGTAAGTCTTCACAAGGTTTTCACACACTGTTGCTGGTATTTTGGCCCATTCCTCCATGCAGATCTCCTCTAGAGCAGTGATGTTTTGGGGCTGTCGCTGGGCAACACAGACTTTCAACTCCCTCCAAAGATTTTCTATGGGGTTGAGATCTGGAGACTGGCTAGGCCACTCCAGGACCTTGAAATGCTTTTTACGAAGCCACTCCTTCGTTGCCCGGGCGGTGTGTTTGGGATCATTGTCATGCTGAAAGACCTAGCCACGTTTCATCTTCAATGCCCTTGCTGATGGAAGGAGGTTTTCACTCAAAATCTCACGATACATGGCCCCATTCATTCTTTCCTTTACACAGATTAGTCGTCCTGGTCCCTTTGCAGAAAAACTGCCCCAAAGCATGATGTTTCCACCCCCATGCTTCACAGTAGGTATGGTGTTCTTTGGATGCAACTCAGCATTCTTTGTCCTCCAAACACGACGAGTTGAGTTTTTACCAAAAATATATTTTGGTTTCATCTGACATTCTCCCAATCCTCTTCTGGATCATCCAAATGCACTCTAGCAAACTTCAGACGGGCCTGGACATGTACTGGCTTAAGCAGGGGGACACGTCTGGCACTGCAGGATTTGTGTCCCTGGCGGCGTAGTGTGTTACTGATGGTAGGCTTTGTCACTTTGGTCCCAGCTCTCTGCAGGTCATTCACTAGGTCCCCCCGTGTGGTTCTGGGATTTTTGCTCACCATTCTTGTGATCATTTTGACCCCACGGGGTGAGATCTTGCGTGGAGCCCCAGATCGAGGGAGATTATCAGTGGTCTTGTATGTCTTCCATCTCCTAATAATTGCTCCCACAGTTGATTTCTTCAAACCAAGCTGCTTACCTAATGCAGATTCAGTCTTCCCAGCCTGGTGCAGGTCTACAATTTTGTTTCTGGTGTCCTTTGACAGCTGTTTGGTCTTGGCCGTAGTGGAGTTTGGAGAGTGACTGTTTGAGGTTGTGGACAGGTGTCTTTTATACTGATAACAAGTTCAAACAGGTGCCATTAATACAGGTAACGAGTGGAGGACAGAGGAGCCTCTTAAAGAAGAAGTTACAGGTCTGTGAGAGCCAGAAATCTTGCTTGTTTGTAGGTGACCAAATACTTATTTTCCACCATAATTTGCAAATAAATTCATAAAAAATCCTATAATGTGATTTTCTGGATTTTTTTTCTCAATTTGTCTGTCATAGTTGACGTGTACCTATGATGAAAATTACAGGCCTCTCTCATCTTTTTAAGTGGGAGAACTTGCACAATTGGTGGCTGACTAAATACTTTTTTTCCCCCACTGTACACACACCCCACTGGGCACACATTGGTTGAATCAACATTGTTTCCACGTCATTTCAATGAAATTACATTGAACCAATGTGGAATAGACGTTGAATTGACATCTGTGCCCAGTGGGATTTAGATTGATATGTTCAGAGACTTCTCTACCGTATGGAAGCAGCTATAACGGGACTGGAAACTGAGTGAGTGTTCTGTCTCTGTATGCTAACCTGTCTTCTCTGGAGAGGAGGAGGGTGCAGTCGTCGGGCTCTGCATCTGCGTTGCTCGGTCATTGTCTTTCTGCTCCTGGACGTCTCGCAGTAACTGTTTGATCTTGTTGTCGTACTCCACCCACTCAGGCACGATCCTCACGGCCGCCGACAGCTTGGGCTCCTTGGTCTTGGGGTTATTGCACTGCAGATAACGCAGACAGACACATCAGTCATGACTTCTTCCACCAGAACAGTGGACTTCCTCACAACACAACAACCCCTCCCGGTGTCTGCGGCTACCATTTAAAGCTGATCCGATTTTCTTCTCCATTAAAAGAGACAGTATCTCATGTATCGCTGGTGTCCCAGGGTCAGAAAAGAGTATGCAGTCATTGTGAGCCTGTCAGATATTCCCACAGCCAATTCTTCACTCTATCGTCATAATTAGTTTAGGAGATGGGGGAAATAACACCAATTTCCCATATTTTCTACTGTCATCACAAAAGCTTAGAGCAGATAAATGCCAAACACATTAGCATTACTGGATGGATGATAGAAGTTATGGAGCCTAAAAGGATATGCAATAACACTGAGAGTCAACATCATGGACTCTACATAGGATCCATACTCAAAAGATTGGCACTTAGTATGAACTGCTCTTCCTCAATAAAAATGAATATGGGAGGCTGTCAGCACTTTTACAAGCTCTTGCGGAATAGACTAAGAAATGGTGGCCTTCCCTTTGCGCAAGTGGACTCACAGCTATGCTGAAGTTGCTACAACTGTCAGGTTGTAACTGATAAAGCCACACTAGGACGGTCAACTGCTACTGTATAAACATTTACTTTACTCTATCAACTCTATTGAATCCCCAACTAAACTAAAATAACAGTTTTTTTGGAGCTCACAGCAGTGGAGGTGAACGTATAAATTACACTTCTATTCTTGACTGTGTTAGCTGCTAAATATCAGCTAGGATTATTCTTGCTTCCTGCAGAGGTAGACGATGGAGAATTCTATATATGCTATATGCTGCTGTTAAGGGGGTGTGTTGTAGAGACATTTCCATCAGTAAGAGTATGTCTGGCATAGTAATGAGATGCCCTTCCTCAGTCAGTCAGTCAGATAGATAGAACATAGACCCACCAGGTCAATGGTCTTGGCGGTGGTCTTGGATGCGTTGTCACACCAAGTCTCACACCAAAGCCACTCCTGGGGCAGGGACTTGATGGCCACCTGGTGGATCATGTTGTTGGGCAGGTCCTAGCAGAATGAAATCAAACATTTACTCTACATTTCAATTAATAGTAATTAGACATTTACTGACAGAATTTTCAAAAGGTAAGCAGAAACAGATCCTCTGCTACGGGCATGTCATTGTAATTCAGTAGTTGTCCAGCCATTGAGACGGAGAGAAGTGTGTGATGTCCCTCTCACCTGGTCCAGGTTGGACAGACTGTTGGGGTCCTGGCTCAGGGCTTGGTACTGGCCACGTAGTCGGTCTCCTGCTGCTATCTTCCGGAACTTCTTCAGATCCACTACATACAGAGCACTGGACAGAGAGAGAGGAGACGGTTATGAAACAGTCAAAATGCTTTGAAATGAATAACCCACCTAGAGGGAAATACTGCTATCATAAACCGAAGCTAAATGTCCCAGTCATCCACATTTATAAGCGTATGTAGTGTATCATGTTAACATACACAAAGGTGCCACGTACTTAATGTGCCATGACTCCCATCACAGATCATGACAGTCTGACTAAATTAAATCTGATTCATACAGGATAATTTACCGGCATTTCAGCGAGCTCTGTGGTTTGGTTCATTTCACACCCTGTCTACCCTGCTTGGCTGTGGTTGGCCCCATGCAGCTGTGCAGCCTGCTGGAATCCAATAAAATGTTCCTGATTTGCTGGCGGCCTTTGTTCCAGCTAGCTAGCCTCCCAGGCAATGGACTCCTGCTCTGGCCCTGGCCCAGTGGATAGAGCGCCTCGCTGGGGAGATTAATATGTTCAGCAGGGCTGGCTGGCTGAATTAAGCCGCTTCAAACGGGCCAGCAGCACCCCCACACTCCCAACAAGGAACCAGTGCACTAGTCCCTTTCCTTTTTTACCATGCCTAGTTATTCATGTATAGCAATGCGGACACAGGGCTGTAAATATTGAGGCTGAAGTAAAGATATTTTCTCACTTCTGGAAGTAACTGTCTGTTCAATGTGGTGTTCCACATACATATCGTATGGCTTTCATGGTTCAGTCTCACAGAGTGCAAGGAATGAAACAACATGTCAATGAAGACCAACCCCAAGCAGCGAATAGAGGTGCGATACTGTAGTTGTGATACAAATATTCTCGTCTGTGTGAGAGAGAAAAAGGAATGTTTTATCAGAGAAGGTAATTTATCTATGCAGAGGATAGGATCCTGCTGCATCTTCCACACCCACAGTCCCCTCTGAGAACCATGTTATGCCTCGTTGTGAAGGACAGGAAATAATCCATGAATGTTTCTGTATAAACCGCCAATAGTCGACTCAAAGGAGTCACTGTCAAATACTGAACGTTACTGTTTTCTAATGTATGCATTTATTCTGCTGAATACATTGAGGGAACACATTTTCCTTGAATTGTATTTTCCTTCATCTCTTCGGCGAATAACTTATGTGAAATATCAATACAATGACAGTGCATCGGCCTTAAAAAGGGAAAAAAGAGGAGGATACCATAACTGTCAAGCTTGTATGCATTAGCAAAGAATATGTGCTTACTATGCAATAGTAACATTGTAAAAATGCACTTCCAGTGGCTGGTGGACATTAATAGCATACACAATAGTGCTTCAAATCAAAACGTCAAACTGTGTAGGTATTGTAGCGGTGTTTACCTAATGTGGTATCTCCTGTTCCCCAGATGTGAGGCCCAATAGCCAGTCTTCCAGAAGCGGTAGCCCTCCATCTCCTTCCGACTGTCACAGAAGGGAGTGTACCCATAGGGGGCGCCCTCTAGGTTCAAATCCCTCAGCTCCTTCAGATCGGCCCTGACTATCTGTGAGGACCGGGAACAACAGTAAATCAGCACCAATGACAGCACTAAAACCGGTCGGTTGACATGCACAAATCCTGCAGGTCCTCTTCTAGGTGATATATAATTTTTTATTATGGGTATCCATTTGATTTTGTAACAGCGGTATCTTGTTTTCACTAGACAGTTACCTGGTCAGCGTCCACAAATATGATTTTGTCCACAGCCAGGGGGAAGAGGACATCCAGGAAGAGGATCTTGTAACCCCAGATGATCCTCTGTTTCTCAGTCTGCTGGTGGAGCCAGCGGGGCCATTTGTATTGGACCAGCTCATACTGGAAACCATAGGCCTCAGCCATGTAAGGTATGGACTCCTAAACACACAACCTCATATAATGAGAGAAAAAATAGATAGTTCCTAGCAGAAAAAGAATGATTTTTCTTCTTTAGGTTAATGAGAAAATGTACAATATGTTCTGACATTTGGTCTCAGAAAACAATTATTGTGAGGAATTGACTAAAATCCTCCTCAAAAACCAGCTGGAATTGTTCGAAATAGGTTACACTTGATCATTGTAAATATATAGACACTGTGCACTTGGTAATGCACATTTCACAGATCAAGCAAAGCGCCCTTGAAGCATAAAATAGTTTGAATCTTTCATAAATAGTGAAACATTCCAAATGCAGAACATTTATAGAATTTTATAACACTCCCCATTTCCTGTGGCTCGTTTGACTATTTTAGATATATATGATGTAGCTTAGTAGGCGTTCATGTATATGGACTCATCCCTATAGGAAGAGGAACAGATGGATAAAAAGAGGACAATCACAAAGGAGAAGGCATCCCACAGTTCCTTTCATCCCTCAACACAAACAAATCTATTTCTCCCAGGGGTCGCGCTGCAGCGAGGAGAAAGTTATCACGACAAGACAGGAAGGCAGAAAGTTTGTGTGGAGTCAAGCCGTGAGGCGGTTACCTTGAAGGACGGTGAGAGGTAATTCTTGAGGAACCAAAACTTCACAGGGGTTTTGGTGTGCTGGAGTACGGACAGCATCATTATTCTGGAACAGGAGGAGAGAGAGGGAGAGAAAGAAAGAGAATGAGAGGGAGGGAGGGAGAGAAGGAGTAAGTCTCAGAGGATGAGGGCTAAGAAAAGGCAAGAGGCGCGTGGGGCCTCCAGACCAGCAGTGTACGTCTGTGTGTGTGTGTGTGTGTGTGTGTGTGTGGGCGTCTCACCTCAGGAAGCGCTCGTACAGATGGCCCGAGGCCACAGAGAAGATGTTGAGCACATCCTCCCTGTTCTTCTCTCTGTCCTCTGAACTAGACCCACCACCTGCGATGCTACAAAGGACCATGCACGTTACATAAGCTTGATTGAAGTAGCCTGCTCAGTAACCTCCTCAGACAAACACCACTACCTCACAATCTAGCCAGCATGCCTTGGCTACAGCCTGAAGGAACCATACTGCACTATTTCAGTAACAGAGATGATTCTCCAAACATAAATCACTTATAATTTACACTTGAGTAGCGTTTGCTGAGCGACAGAATTGCAAAGATCGTGGCACCACTCTGGTAGACCTAGATCAGTTGTTAGTGTCTTTTACAGCAGAAAGTGCCACTGCTCTCCTGCTGGCTCTCCTCCAGAGTAATCAACTGATTACAGCAGAGACACAATAAAGGCAGATGTAACTTTTATGGGGCCCATTCTGTTTTCCTCCACAAATATCAAATAAAGAACAGATAATTAAATAGTCTCTCACAACACCTCCAGAGCACTAGCTCCTCTCTATTCCCACTCGGCTTGCTAATGGCAGATGGTTTTGGACTCAGTCATGAGATTGGTGAACCCTCTGGGATAGTCAGGTGTATTGACTGAATGGATCTATTCTGGACATGGCATGTGAACAGAGTATTTGAGAAGCGTGAAAGCCCCAGAAGCTGCTATGGAGAGAAAGGCAGCTGGAAGTGCTGTATCCAGGTTCTATTCAATATCCAATCCAAATCTAGCCTAAACTGATCTGATAGCGTGTAGTATAAAATAAATAATAATTAACATGTAAAAACATTAGCACTGTAAAAACTGACTGTTAAAAAAGATGCCATGAACTAAGATAAAAGGTAGGAGTCCAGGCAGGTGTTTATCAAACCAGGCACTGTCCAAACTCATAAGATCATGCAGGGCACATTTGTAGGAAACCAATCAGGGCTTGTGCTTGGGGCAGTGATGTCTGCAGTCAAACTGTGTGTCCTTCTCTGTAACAGACTGCTGATGAGGGGAGTGTGTCTCTCCTCCCACACTCAATCAGCAGAGCAAAGCAAGGCCCAGAGGCTCCAGCGCATAGAATTGAAGAGGGAAAGAAAGTCTGCATCTCTCTGCCCTCGCACACACAATACTGTAGCAAACCGTCTATGTTCTCTCCCTGTCTTACAAGTCTGTCCAACTTGTCTGTATCTGTCATATCTGTCAAATCTCTCTCTCTCTCTCTCTCTCTCTCTCTCTCTCTCTCGCTCTCTCTCGCTCTCTCTCTCTCTGCTTGAATTCTTTGCTTCAGTCCTCTATTCATGTCATACAAGGCTAAAGCCTTCCTCTCTTCCATTCTCATACAAGAGCCAGCCTCACAGTGTTACTGTAAGCCCCACCAATGCACTGGTACAGTGAGCTGGTTGCTGGGCCGTCACCACTGTGGTCCGGAGGATGCCTTGTGCTTGGCCTTGCTAAGCCTGTCATTATGAAGGGCTGGAGGGGGCGAGGGCTGAGGGGCGAGAGGCGGCCTCCATTGTGAGGGCCAGATAATGCCATCTACAGCGCTCTGCTCCAGCGGGACCCCAGATAAGCAGCTTTAGGTCTTCAGCTTTTCAGGTGAGGGCTGGTTTGGACGACATGCACCAGATAATCCAGACCTCTGGAATGACCCTTGTCCACCCATCCATAGCCTGAGTACAATCACAGATGAACTCCAGAGCTGGATTGTAACTCTCCGCATTTCAGTTCCTACTACAGCCACAACAACGTCAGTTTACTGTGTGGGCAGTTCTAGCAGTATTTCTCTACGTCAAAGCATATTATTTTCATGAGAAAATATAATGTTCAATAAAATAAGGGTTTGTACCAGTGACTTCAATGTGACAGTAAGAAAATAACCAGTGTAAAAATAAAATAAAAAGCATAATTATCATTAGGAACTGAGCCTGGGAAGCAACCAAGACTCTTCTATGTTAAGCAATATGGTAAACAGACAGGTTAAGTAGTTGCAGCAACACACGTCCTACCTTTTCTCAAAAGTGCTCCACACACTTCACACAGCAAGCATTAGGTGAGGAGACAGATCACACAATTAGGGTGTGTCAGTGGAAACACAACACGCTACACACATACACACATACCTAGGTCTACAGTAGCACATTTTTTTTGCAATAGATTTTACAGAGTAATATCTCAGTCTGGCTCCGAGGGCACCATCTCTCCTGCTGAAACCGCAGCATTATTAGTGACCATAGATAGTGGATCAACTCGCCCACAAATCAATGCTCTTACCACCATTCTATTGATGTAACTTGATCAAATGAAGTCTATGTAAAATATAGCTACTGTATGTGAGAATGCGACACACTCTTACCTAGCAATGGAATCCCATATTCCCTTATTCTCTGTGGCTTCACTTAGGAGGTCCTCGCTGATTTTGTCAGTCTTTTTCTGAACCTACAGTGGGGAATTAGATAGAGGCACACAGTTTTTTTTTCTTCATTTCTCTCTAAAGCTTGGAAGTACACTTGAATCCATGCAATATCCTTAGATTAGGAGATGACACATTACACTACGAAAAATGGGTGAATATCTCCAAACTACATTGTCTTGGAGTGTGCTTGTGTTAGAGCTACACTACATTACCTAAAGTATGTGGACACCTGCTCGTCGAACATCTCATTCCAAAATTATGGCCATTAATATGGAGTTGGTCCCCCCTTTGCTACTATAATAGACTCCACTCTTCTGGGAAGGCTTTCCACTAGATGTTGGAACATTGCTGCGGGGACTTGCTTCCATTCAGCTACAAGAGCGTCAGTGAGGTCGGGCACTGATGTTTGGCGATTACGCCTGGCTCGCAGTCGGCGTTCCAATTCATCCCATACGTGTTCCCTAAACTATTGCCACAAAGTTGGAAGCACAGAATCGTCTAGAATGTCATTGTAAGCTGTAGCGTTAAGATTAAGGGGCCTAGCCCGAACCATGAAAAACAGCCCCAGACCATTATTCCTCTTTCACCAAACTTTACAGTTGGCGCTATGCATTGGGTCAGGTAGCGTATTCCTGGCATCCACCAAACCCAGATTTGTCCGTCGGACTGCCAGATGGTGAAGCGTGATTCATCACTCCAGAGAATGCGTTTCCACTGCTCCCGAGTCCAATAGCGGCGAGCTTTACACCACTCCAGCCGACACTTGGCATTGCGCATGGTGATCCTAGGCTTGTGTGCGGCTGCTCGGCCATGGAAAACCATTTACATGAAGCTCACGACAAACAGTTATTGTGCTGACATTGCTTCCAGAGGCAGTTTGGAACTCGGTAGTGAGTGTTGCAACCGAGGACAGACGATTTTTACGCGCTACGCGCTTCAGCACTCGGCGGTCCCGTTCTATGAGCTTGTGTGGCCTACCACGTCGCGGCTGAGCCGTTGTTGCTCCTAGACGTTTCCACTTCACAATAACAGCACTTACAGTTGACCGGGGCAGCTCTAGCAGGGCAGAAATTTGACCAACTGACTTGTTTTTTTTTTTTTTTTTTGGGGGGTAGATCAGCTTAATATTGCAGATAGATTGTAACTTCCATCAATGTAATTGTCTGCATCACTTCCAATCCCCCATGTTTATATATATATATATATATATATATACATACACACACACATACATATACATATATATACATATACACATACACACATACATACATACATACATACATACATACATATCTTTAAAATATATATATATTCCCCTTTATTACTTTCCAACCCCGCCACCCTTTCCCCACTTGGAGTAAACTAGTGAACAACAACGCCTAGGCCTCTACTTCCAGCCCATACCCACTATCTACATTTTATGGACACAGTCAATTTTACAATAATTACATTTTGTTTGTTCTTTCTCCTGAACTTCTTCTACTCTCAACCTCTCCGATCATTTTCATGATGTCCATCCGGTTTGCTTCTATATGCCATATCTTTCTAACTGTGCTCCTTCACAAAAGCTCCCAACCTACAACCCATACACTTATTATGGACACAGCGTGCCTACATTATTAGTTATCTTGTTATTGTTTGTTGTTAGTTGTTATTAGTCCCATCCTTCAATTCCATTCAACACCTCCCATCTATCTTTTAACACCATCCATATAGGATTTATATTTGCCATATATATTTCAACTGTACTGTGATGTCTTACAAAAGTTCTGAACCTTTCTATTCTCATTGTTTCTACAGATTGTGAATTGATTTGCTAATAGTATTATTATGTTATTGATCGATTGACTATGACTTTTCAGATCACCCAGTAGTGCTATCTGCAGGGTTAGCTCCAGGTAAATATTGCAATCCTTTAGCCATTCCTGGACCTGTGTCCAAAAACAAGCTACAAATGAACAGTACCAAAACAAATGATCTAATGATTCTGTCTCTTCGCAGCAAAATCTGCAGAGCTGGGAAGATTGTATCCCCCATATAAATAACATTGGTAGCAAGAATTGTATATAATAATTTAAATTGAAGGATTCTAAGTTTTGAATCCGGTTTGTTTTGCGTATCAGTCCAACTGACTTGTTGGAAAGGTGGCATCCTATGACGGTGCCACGTTGAAAGTCTTCAGTAAGGCCATTCGACTGCCAATGTTTGTCTATGGAGAGGTGTGGCTGAAATAGCCAAATCCACTAATTTGAAGGGGTGTCCACATACTTTTGTACATATAGTGTATGTGGTTAGAGAATACATACCCTGACTTTGATGATCTTGCTATGGAAGCTGTTCAGCACAACTTTAACATCACCAGAATCAGCAGGAGAATCAGTCCCATCATGCCTGTAAGAGAGCCAACAATTAGGGGGAAATAGTTAGAACATGGACATAGTATTCTCTGAACAGCATCTCCCATTTGCCTCTTCCCTGTGAAAGTAACCAACTCTTCCACTTTACTTTCAGATCACCATGACCATTTAAGATGTATATAGCAATATATATTATATTATATAGCTATATAAAATTATATTTGAGTTTGTGGATAAATTTACATCTGCCAGATGCCTTTTATGACGTTTTTGCCCTGAAGACCATTCAAAAAGTCTAGAAAAGTTGAAAAAACTAAAAGGCTGCTTCCTGGAAAACGACGCGTCACTTGCATAGCGTATTCAGTTCAATATATTGTAGTATCCACATACACGTAGGCCACCAGCTAACATGTGTCATTAACTGTGAAGAAGCCCACAGAACGAGTGTCCCACTCCCAGCCAAACCCATCAATCCAGAGGGAGGGGGAAAAAAACACAAGGACAACAACAAAGGTTATGCTCAGGAAGAAAACACACGGTGAGAGAAAAGCACTGGGGACCACCGACAAGGCATTCAGACAGACAACAGAATAATGCATGCAAACAGGCCTTTCTGGGAACTACGCCAAGGTCTTGCTCTGATCATATTAATTCCCCCTGCTCGTCATTCAGCATCCCTTTTATTCCATTTGATCCGTCGTTACTTTCCAACCGTGCTTTCTGTTTTATCTATTGACACATTCTTTATGAGGAAACCACTGTAGTTTCAATTGTGTGGCCACTGGACTTAGGCTGTAATTGTTTTAAGATGACCCAGTGCTCTATTCTTAACCCTTGTCCAGTGGAGAGTGTGTCTCTGTGGAGTAAGTAACATTAGACACCCAAGGTCCGAGGGTTAGAACACCACTGAACAACCTACAGCCAGAGATGAGCAATAGGCTATCATGGCTCAGCAAACCATCATGACTTCAGTGCTTACTAAAGGCAGAGAATTAACCGTATCACTATGATAAATGTCCGCCCTCATTGGGCACAAAGTGCATTTTCCCCCGTTGGAAAGTGCTGTTTGGTTTGGACTGGTCCACTGTCGCCTCTGCCTCAGCCGAGGCCATTAGGGGCTGTGGTGGGAAAAGCACAAGAGATCAATTTGTATCCGGGGAGAGCTGGGCGTCTCATTCATCGCTGTCAGGGGCAGTACGCTACAGGAGAGAGCACGGCGTTGGGACATGCAGTGAACAGACACTCCCACTCTGCTCCGATCGGCCCCCCTAACCAGAGCAGAGAGCCATTAACAGCAAGAATAATGGCGCTGCCAAGGTGAAAAATGACAACACCTTTTAGCTTAACCTGGAGGAGTGGGGAATAACTATTGTTGTCTGATATGATTGTGGTGGAATCCAGGGCTGGAGGTGTCCTAAACCTTTCCTGTGTGGAGATGAATGGGCGGGTAATAGCTGGGAGACCCAATGTACTGTATGGATCCATGGACGGAATCACGGAATTGTCCATTCATATTCTCTAGGATTTCCATGCACAGTACTGCAAGTGGTGTCATGAGTGATATATTTATGACGGTTTTAATAAGATTAATTTGTTCATTAGTTTTATGTGTTTTTAAAAGATCGGATAGATAAATGCATGGAATTTCAAAAAGGCTTGACCAAGCCGCAACCCTAGAGAGGAATGTCTAAAATCGACTACAGTTAATGTACATCATGGGATATAAAAAAAAACATCAACGTGCCCTGTATAAGCAGCAATCCACACCCACGCCCTTCCTAGCAGCCAGGAAGATATTGTGCTGCTGATTTTCCTGGGTTTAGAGCAGGTGACCGGCTGAATCATCCCTCCACTCGGTCTTCCCTCTAATAGCATCCCTCCCTCCATCCCTCCTCCCACCAGTCTCTGTCTCCGAGGCCATACACACACAGCACAACTCCCTGCACTCATCAAAACCTTGAGCTGCAACAAAGTCAGCAGCTCCCTGCGTTACCATAGCGATGTGCTTGATACCTCCAGCGAGCGGTTACTGAGGTAAAAAAACAGATGTTGTACAGATGGAGACAGTTAATTACCAGCAGGTTCTGCATGCGTTCACACATATTACTAACTTATATCTGGAATGCAGTGAAATCATATCATGATATGATGAGAGAAAACTGATGGCAGACTGGGAGATTCAAAGGAAAATTAATGCTCAATCATTAGGAAAATCAACTAAAATATTGACTCTGTAGACTGACTATACTCACGCTAGAATTTGATAGATATCCTCCGACCTCCCCTCCCGTAGCTTCAAGATCCAGGCTCCAGGATTGGCTTTCAACTGGAAGTATCCCTATTGACAACATCGGTTAAGATAACATCAAAGAATTATCTGAGATCCATTTATTTATATATTTTCATTCCTTGAGTCCATTATCAGAAGCATAGCTGTACACAGTTCTGCAAACTGTCTCCATATGAGCACCAAACCCTCCATAACAATGCCATTCAAATTCCTATTTGAGCCATAATGAAACTTGGAGCCAAGATGGCGCCCATTCAACTACTACATTTGAGTGGTTCTCACCAGGTTGGCCATGACGATGGTATCCTGCATGAGGGGGTCCTGGCTCATGCCCAGGGTGAACTGCAGGCCGCGGGGGGGCTGGCCCGTAGACAGGTCAAAGCAGTGGCCCTCCAGCAGCAGGTGCTCCAGCTCGTACTCTGCAGTCACTACACCTTTCATCTGAACAGAGGTTAAAAGGTCAGAGGGGAAATGAAGAATACCATCTGGGGGAGGGTTAAGGAGGAGAATCACGTCTCTTCCCTTGGTTTGGTCTGATACCCATTAGCCTAGCTCAGTACCTCCTGTAGGTGGATGTTGTCCAGATCATAGGGGCTCCTGACTGCCTCCACCATCCAGCTCTCTGGGGTGATCATGTTCAGGGTGAGGAGGGGCGACTCAGGGAGTTCCAAGAAGTGAGCCATTGGTCCTGCAGACACTGTTTCATTGGCCAGGAAAGACACATCCGACTCCAACACAAAACGGTAGAAGCTAAAGAGAGAAGAGTTCAGTGAGGAGTGACAGAAGTCGATAGGTTCTCACCTAAAACTGTGAATGTTAACAATTATCAAGATTAGGTCATTTGAGACAGATGCATCGCAACTGAGTAGCTTCTGTTAGCTATAGACATACACGTTGTATATTATTTAACTTTCTCGGGAAGGGAGTCGTTCTATTGTGAGTGCTGAGGATACAGTGTCTTAAAGGGAGGTATCTGAAACCGTATCGGCCAATAATAGGAACGTATGCCCCAGATATAGAGTATATTCTACTTCTATGGTATTAGTCAGCCAGAGTTTCCACATAGGTTATTGTCTGCTAATCTTTATGCTAATTGCTTTTTCTTCAATCTGCCCTCTGACACAGTGAAGTCGTAATGAGTAAAGATAAAGCGGCAGACGATCAATATTACTAACACCTTCTCTCTGTATTTAAAACTGACAACCGATCCCAGAGGCTAAAGGATCCTCACATTTCCTCCCGAGAAGATTTTTCAAAAGTTAATTTCAGTCGCAGCAGCTTGTCTTGCTGCTGGGGAGAGTTAGAGAGAGGAGCGCTTTGACTCCAGGGTGGAAGAGAGCGAGAGCTGGTGCATATAAAGTTAGGAGGAGAGGGGACAGAGGATTAAATTACTGAGCCATAACCAAGTCTCCAGAGGAAACTCTCTTTCTCTCGCTCTATCTTTATTGGATTGGTCCAAATTTGGAAGAGTGAACCAATTCTAGACAGAGAGAAAAGTCAGAAAGAGCTGAAGACGGCAGCCAACTGAACTGATATCCTCCTCGCCATCCCCCTCAAGCCATGAAAGTCTTGGAAGACATTACAATGTGCTCACAATGGCAGCGGATGAGATGCACCTGTGCTCGCCAGTAGCAAAGTATCCCAAATAGTGAGCAATAGAGTTAGCAGCCCTCAGTCACTGCTGGGGTGCGGTAGTTGGAAGGAGTCTTGTGCTCTAAACTGGCTTATTATTCATTTTCCCATATTCTCCTAAACCCACAAATTAAGTTAACATTTACACACTGATACCATCAAATATCATTAATGTTAAGAAAGAAACTCCACTCAATTGCACCTATGCGATCAAGAGAATGAGTCTACCTTAAAACCTCCACACCTCTATGCACTACCATATATGTTCTAAACTATTTGTCTTGAGAAGCAGGGGAGGCCCAGAGCAATAAGGTGGTGTTATTAAACAGATAGCATCTGTGGGGTAGTCTCAGAGAGGCCCTGGGTGGTCACACACACACACACACACACACACACACACACACACACACACACACACACACACACACACACTACAGTACTTGGGCAGGAAGTTTAATTAGGAGCAGAGGAGGAGGCTTACCTCTTGAGGGGCATATCGGACAGCTTGGCCCGGCAGTTCATAAACACCTGCAGTTTCACATTGACCACTTGACTGAGCACCTGCAAGAGGGGAGTGGGAGGCAGAACCCAGTTAGCGTACACAGCAAAATAAACCACTCAGCAGACGGGGTAAACCTACACGCTCCAAGTTCTACAGACAAGCTCAAAGTCTGCTGTCCATCTTTACTCAGCTACTGTATCCCGCTGTGAAAATCTGTTTGAACTGGCTAACACAAGACATAGTTTCTCCTTAATAAACACAGTGATTAGTGCTCAGGTTGACAGGAAGATTCAAACAGAGGTGAGGGCATAAGAACAGCGTGTCCGACTGTGTACAGCTGGTTCTCTCCCGTGTGTCCCAGCCGTGCCTGGCTGCCTGCAGCTGATTGAGTGGCAGGGTGATCACCGCCGCATCCCAGCACACTGCAACATACTCTCCTGGCCAACGCGACACACTCCACATCACACCAGAAGTGGCTGGCTGCTCAGGAAGTGATAGCAAGGTGACTCATAGAATTCACCTCAGTCATATAACAGGCAGGCAGGCAGCTAATGTACAGAGTGCAGCCAGTGGGTTTGTGTCAGTGAATCATCATCATCAGACTGAATAAGCAGGCAGCTCCAAATAGCACTGTCCTTTCCTTTTCCCTGAGGAACTCAGAGCTGTACATTTCACACTGTGCAGCAAAAATAACTGGCAAATATCTGTCAAGTTGGGTAATTAGCATGGAATAGCCCTTGCAGAGCAATATAGTTATTTACATTTACATTTTAGTCATTTAGCAGACGCTCTTATCCAGAGCGACTTACAGTTAGTGAATACATATTTTTTTTATACTGGCCCCCCGTGGGAATCGAACCCACAACCCTGGCGTTGCAAACACCATGCTCTATCAACTGAGCTACATCCCTGCCGGCCATTCCCTCCCCTACCCTGGACGACGCTGGGCCAATTGTGCGCCGCCCATGAGTCTCCCGGTCGCGGCCGGCTGCGACAGAGCCTGGATTCGAACCAGGATCTCTAGTGGCACAGTTAGCACTGCGATGCAGTGCCTTAGACCACTGCGCCACTCAGGAGTTATCTCTGAATCTATTTACAAACATGTCCATTTAGGGAAAGTCACATTTAATGAATGATGAAATTGTAAAGAAGCATTGAAAATGTACCTTTCAGCCTATATAAAAGAGAGAATGAAAATAATGAAAAGTAATAACATCAGTTATGGGTTTGAAAACATTCAGCCTGCACTTTCACACTTGCCCTTGTCGGAGCTTGTCAATATATCTGCAGCCTTCCTGCAAATGAAACCGAATGTTGAATGTCCTTGACGTAGTCACAATGAAATAGAGGTGATAGAGAAAAGGGAAGCGCTGCTTACAATCAACAGCGGTGACATCTTCTGGGCGTCCCGGGTCACAGGGTCCACGATGGCCACCACGTCGTAGAACACCTGGTCTTCCCGAGGGGCGAGATGGAGCACGCTAGCGAGGAGGAAGAAAAGGTAGTGTCAACACTCAGCAACACGTTGGCAACGTGGCTCTACTTCCACAACACTCAGCAACACGTTGGCAACGTGGCTCTACTTCCACAACACTCAGCAACACGTTGGCAACGTGGCTCTACTTCCACAACACTCAGCAACACGTTGGCAACGTGGCTCTACTTCCACAACACTCAGCAACACGTTGGCAACGTGGCTCTACTTCCACAACACTCAGCAACACGTTGGCAACGTGGCTCTACTTCCACAACACTCAGCAACACGTTGGCAACGTGGCTCTACTTCCACAACACTCAGCAACACGTTGGCAACGTGGCTCTACTTCCACAACACTCAGCAACACGTTGGCAACATGGCTCTACTTCCACAACACTCAGCAACACGTTGGCAACGTGGCTCTACTTCCACAACACTCAGCAACACGTTGGCAACGTGGCTCTACTTCCACAACACTCCCTCTCCCTATTAGTACCGTTTCCAAATGATACAACTAGCAATTCCCCGACCCATTACAACAAAAGGAAAGCCCGGTGAAACTGAAAGTGCAGTAGTGGGAGACATAGTGGTGAGTGAGAGTGCTATCCTTCACCTGTGCTTGTCTTTGACAAAGCGGACATCTTTCCTGCCCTCTCCTTTAGGGGCGGCGGCGAGGAGGGCGTCCACTTTCATGACTAGATCGCTGGCTCTGGGGGGCAGAGGAGTACAAGGGTTATTCCATCACTTATTGATGACGCTTGTTAAGGTAGTCAGAGAGAGAAGCCAGAGTATGCGTCCCAAATGGCACCCTTTTCCCTTTATAGTGCACTCCTTTTGACAAGGGCCCATAGGGGGAATAGGGTGCACTATGTGGGAATAGGGTGCCATTTGGAACACAGCCAGAGACATCTGTCCTCGGCTCAGAGTTGTGACTTCAATCTGTTTCAGGGGGGGACATTTTGAATGAATAATATGGCTCAAGACAGATCCTGCAATCTTTAAAAACGGACATTTCTCCACATAGAAATACACAAGACTATTTCCAAAAACAGTAGTCTTTTTTATAGTTTAGAAAATAAACGTAATGTGAGGCTCTAGGGGTTATGAGAAGTGATTTGGAAAATGATCTGAGTATTTTCACTTGATAACATCTTATGATTTTCATCATAGGATATGAGAAATGATTTTCACTTGACTTTCATCATAAAATGATGATTTGTGCATCAGCGTCCATCGCAGAAGGTGAAGCACAGGGCACTGCTACAGACAGTGAGTCCAAACAGAGAGAGAGAGATGTTAACAAACATACTGCTTTCCCTTCGTTCCCATCTGCTTGATTCTAGCTTTGACTTTCTCGGCTGTGGTGCTCAGCGTAATCTTCTCTAACAAATGGAAATCCTCTACGTTGAATTCCTCCTCGTCTTCAAATGGCCCCAGGATCTAGCATGGAGAGAAGAGAATACAATCATGGTCAGACCTTACATTCAATGTTTTCAGAGAGTGGAAACGTGATGTGCCACACAGAGCAAACAACCCTCAAAAATAAAATCCCTTAACAATTTTCACTAATAGAATGCATTCCTCAACAATGTCAAAGTTCAACAATGTGCTCTGATGTACCTGTTTCTAGACATTGAATGTTGGACTTTTGTACAGAGCATCCACCTAAAATAAAGTACTAATCTAAAGGGAGATGGGTGTTTCATCTCTTCCCCCCATATGGTCATTGTGTTCCAGGGCTGCTGCCTCTCCATTTTCCCTTTCTATTTTAAGAGGAGAGAAAGCATCCCCTACTCTGCTGGACGGACTGCAGAGGAATGTAAAATGATATTAATTGTTACTGCCATCTCAGGGTCTGGCCCCTTCATCCTTTGCTGTCAGCACTGCTGCTGCTGCCGAGACATCAGTCATCAGCTCTGCTCTATGATAACACACACACACACAGACGCACACACACGGACAAGCGCACACACAAACACACACTCTCACACGCTGCAGCCCTCTGTGCCACCTGTGACCTCTGGGAAACAGACGTCATGCTGACTGGACAGTCCAGAGGAGCTATGTGAAACACCAGAGAGAATAATACTCACCTCCTACAGCAGCTTACTGTGGAATAACCCGCTCATCTCATCTCCCCCTGACAACACTGACAGCGCTTACTTTACCGAAAGGTCAATGTGCTCTACTACCTCTCCCGATTGACAGTAATCCATGGTTCATATAATTATTTGTTATGATGTTTAGTATCATTCGGTAAGTAATGCTGAGATAATACATTTCCTGGTGTGTTAATGTCATTGCAGTGGACAGTGGACTGTATCACTATAACACTGGTAAAACAGGGACTGTAGAGTCCTGTCCACTCACCCTGCCGTTGCTGACCACGGCCCTTTGTCCAGTGTGCAGCCTCAGGACATCTCTGCAGAACAGCTGCTGACTGCGGATGAAATCCACCTCCATGGTGTTGAACTTCTTCTCAAAGGCATCCGCGTCCATGCCCTGCAGTGGAGAAAAAGAAACACAGTCGTACTGTACATGTCTGAAGAACGGGTGATATATGATTGGAAAGGCCTCCTGAAGGACATCGCTCCCATTGCAGTCCACTCAAAACAAAGTCTGAATCGCATTGATGTAAAGTAGGATGCATGCCGGGCTAGAAATCACTTTGTTATTGACAAATCGTTGAAGTCCTGCATCAGGGGCAATCACTGCTCCGCTATTAAACATACATATTTCAAAGTCAGAGCCAGCTGAGCTAATAGCAATGCACATGCTGGGAGAAAAAAAAATCAGAAGAGAGATTAATCAATTTGTAATTAATCTAACACAAATTTAATTAAACATTGGCCATTTTGTCCATAACAAATCAGCCACCAGAGAGAGTGTTCAGTTTGCAGAGTCAGGTTATTAGTTTCTCAAACAATTTTTTCACCCCCAAGGAGAACAGGTGAAATACCAATAATGTCAGCCCCAACTATGTCAGCAAGTCTGTCTGGCAGCCAGTAATAACATCATATCCCCAGCTCTCTGGATCCCAAACCCCAACCCACAGAGCTCCACACACAGAGCCACTGCTGATATTTCCATCACTATCCCTCCTTCCCCTCCTCCTTCCTCCCTCCTTTAACGAGGGCAGTAATTGAAGGCCAGGCTGCTGTGGTAACTCTCCCAGCCTCTCTGTGTTAAGGCCCCTGGCTGAACACTCACTAGACTCACCAGGATTTACTGTTGTCACTGGTGAGAGTAAAAATGGGGGGGGGGGGGGGGGGGGGGATTTCCTGTCAGTTGATTGGCTGATCGATCCCCGAGAAGAAGGTTTCCTATGAGTCTGCCAGTGTGAATGAATCCTATACTGTAATAGTGTGGAGACAGACTGAGTGCAGGAAGAACACCTGTGGTTGTAGAGATGGCTTAGAGGAGAGTAGAGGAGGGGAGCCATGGTCAGGCTTGATCAGGCATATGGCTGTACCACACAGCCACGAAGACCAGGCAGCAGCTCAGCCACCACGGTCTCTCTGGGGATGGGGTATCCAAAGAACACTGGTAGTTAAGTATTCAGCACGTGGACCTTATGCTCACTCCTCACGCTCTGACTGATCAAGTGTAACTGACAGTGAGTAGGTCTATGCATCCTTTGTATGGAAGCTGTCAGGCATGCTCAATATTTATACTACCACGTAATATTCAGGGTGTGGCGAAATGAGAAGAGGTGCTCATCCGTCACCAGTCCTGTGGCACAGGGTTTCACAAAGAGAACAGTGGAGACGAGTCTCCAGTCATTCGGCAGTAGCTAATAATTCAAGGGCTCCACGTCAAATCTATGAACCAACTACAGTGCCTTCAAAAAGTATTCATACCCCTTGATTTATTTCACGTTTTGTTGTTACAGCCTGAATTCAAAATGGATTAAATAGATTCTTACCCATCAACACACAATACCCCATAATGACAAAGCTAAAACAAACATGTTTTTAGAAATGTTTGCTAATTTATTGAAAATGAAATATCTCATTTACATACAGCACCAGTCAAAAGTCTGGACACCCCTACTCATTCCAGAGTTTTTCTTTATTTTTACTATTTTCTACATTGTAAAATAATAGTGAAGACATCAAAACTATTAAATAACACATATGGAATCATGTAGTCACCCAAAAAGTGTTAAACAAATCCAAATATATTTTATATTTGAGATTCTTCAAAGTAGCCAGCCTTTGCCTTGATGACAGCTTTGCACACTCTTGGCATTATCTCAACCATCTTCATGAGGTAGTCACCTGGAATGCATTTCAATTAACAGGTGTGCTTTGTTAAAAGTTAATTTGTGGAATTTATTTCCTTCTTAATGCTTTTGAGTTGTTGTGACAAAGTAGGGGTGGTATACATAAGATAGCCCTATTTGGTAAAAGACCAAGTCCATACAGTGGATTGCGAAAGTATTCATCCCCCTTGGCATTTTTCCTATTTTGTTGCCTTACAACCTGGAATTAAAATTGATTTTTTGGGGGGTTTGTATCATTTGATTTACACAACATGCCCACCACTTTGAAGATGCTAAATATGTTTTATTGTGAAACAAACAAGAAATACGACGAAAACTTGAGCGTGCATAACTATTCACCCCCCCAAAGTCAATACTTTGTAGAGCCACCTTTTTCAGCAATTACAGCTGCAAGTCTCTTGGGGTATGTCTCTATAAGCTTGGCACATCTAGCCACTGGGATTTTTGCCCATTCTTCAAGGCAAAACTGCTCCAGCTCCTTCAAGTTGGATGGGTTCCGCTGGTGTACAGCAATTTTTAAGTCATACCACAGATTCTCAATTGGATTGAGGTCGTGGCTTTGACTAGGCCATTCCGAGACATTTAAATGTTTTCCCTTAAACCACTAGAGTGTTGCTTTAGCAGTATGCTTAGGGTCATTGTCCTGCTGGAAGGTGAACCTCCTTTCCTAGTCTCAAATCTCTGGAAGACTGAAACAGGTTTCCCTCAAGAATTTCCCTGTATACATCGCCATCCATCATTCCTTCAATTCTGACCAGTTTCCCAGTCCCTGCCGATGAAAAACATCCCCACAGCATGATACTGCCACCACCATGCTTCACTGTAGGGATGGTGTTCTCTGGGTGATGAGAGGTGTTGGGTTTGCGCCAGACATAGCGTTTTCCTTGATGGCCAAAAAGTTCAATTTTAGTCTAATCTGACCAGAGTACCTTCTTCCATATGTTTGGGGAGTCTCCCACATGCCTTTTGGCGAACACCAAATGTGTTTGCTTATTTCTTTCTTTAAGCAATGGCTTTTTTTCTGGCCACTCTTCTGTAAAGCCCAGCTCTGTGGAGTGTACGGCTTAAAGGGGTCCTATGGACAGATACTCCAATCTCCGCTCTGGAGCTCCTTCAGGGTTATCTTTGGTCTCTTTGTTGCCTCTCTGATTAATGCCCTCCTTGCCTGGTCTGTGAGTTTTGGTGGGCAGCCCTCTCTTGGCAGGTTTGTTGTGGTGCCATATTCTTTCCATTTTTTATAATGTATTTAATGGTGCTCCGTGGGATGTTCAAAGTCTTAGATATTATTTTATAACCCAACCCTGATCTGTACTTCTCCACAACTTTGTCCCTGACCTGTTTGGAGAGTTCCTTGGTCTTCATGGTGCCGCTTGCTTGGTGGTGCCCCTTGCTTAGGGATGTTGCAGACTCTGGGGCCTTTCAGAACAGGTGTATATATACTGAGATCATGTGAGAGATCACGTGACACTTAGATTGCACACAGGTGGACTTTATTTAACTAATTATGTGACTTCTGAAGGTAATTGGTTGCACCAGATCTTATTTAGGGGCTTCATAGCAAAGGGGGTGAATCCATATGCACGCACCACTATTCCGTTATTTATTTTTTAGAATTCTTTGAAACAAGTTATTTTTTTCATTTCACTTCACCAATTTGGACTATTTTGTGTATGTCCATTACATGAAATCCAAATAAAAATCTATTTAAATTACAGGTTGTAATGCAACAAAATAGGAAAAACGCTAAGAGGGATGAATACTTTTGCAAGGCACTGTATTATGGCAAGAACAGCTCAAATAAGCAAAGAGAAACGACAGTCCATCATTACTTTAAGACACGAAGGTCAGTCAACCTGGAAAATGTCAAGAACGTTGAAAGTTTCTTCAAGTGCAGTCGCAAAAACCATCAAGCGCTATGATGAAACTGGCTCTCATGAGGACTGCCACAGGAAAGGAAGACCCAGGCTTACCTCTGCTGCAGAGGATAAGTTCACTAGAGTTACCAGCCTCAGAAATTGCAGCCCAAATAAATGCTTCACAGAGTTCAAGTCACAGACAAATCTCAACATCAACTGTTCAGAGGAGACTGCGTGAATCAGGCCTTCGTGGTCGAATTGCTGCAAAGAAACCACTACTAAAGGACACCAATAATAAGAAGAGACTTGCTTGGGCCAAGCAACACGAGCAATGGACATTAGACCGGTGGAAATCTGTCCTTTGGTCTGATGAGTCCAAATTTGATATTTCTGGTTCCAATCGTCGGGTCTTTGTGAGACGCCGAGTAAGTGAATGGATGATCACTGTATGTGTGGTTCCCACCATGAAGCATGGAGGAGGTGGTGTGATGGTGTGGGGGTGCTTTGCTGATGACACGGTTGGTGATTTATTTAAAATTCAAAGCACACTTAACCAGCATGGCTACCACAGCATTCTGCAGAGATATGCCATCCCATCTGGTTTGCGCTTAGTGGGACTATCATTTGTTTTTCAACAGGACAATGACCCAAGACACACCTCCAGGCTGTGTAAGGGCTATTTGACCAAGAAGGAGAGTGTTGGAGTGCTGCATCAGATGACCTGGCCTCCACAATCCCCCGACCTCAACCCAAATGAGATGGTTTGGGATGAGTTGCACCGCAGAGTGAAGGAAAAGCAGCCAACAAGTGCTCAGCATATGTGGGAACTCCTTCAAGAATGTTGGAAAAGCATTCCAGGTGAAGCTGGTTGAGAGAATGCCAAGAGTGTGCAAAGCTGTCATCAAGGCAAAGGGTGGCTATTTGAAGAATCTCAAATATAAAATATATTTTTATTTGTTTAAGACTTTTTTGGTTACTACATGATTCCATATGTGTTCTTTCATAGTTTTGATGTCTTCACTATTATTCTACAATGTAGAAAATAGTGAAAAAACCTTAAATGAGTAGGTGTGTCCAAACTTTTGACTGGTACTGTAAGTATTCACACCCCTGAGTCAATACATATTACAATCACCTTTTGCAGTGATTACAGTCTTCACGGGTAAGTCTCTAAGAGCTTTGCACACCAGAATTGTACAATATTTGCACATTATTATTTAAAATATTCTTCAAGCTCTGTTTTTGGTTGATGATCATTGCTAGACAGCCCTTTTCAACTCTTGCCATAGATTTTCAAGCCGATTTTAGTCAAAACTGTAACTCCCTAGTCCTTTCCGATGACAAGCATACCCATAACATGATGCAGCCACCACCATGCTTGAAAATATGTAGAGTGTTACTCTGTGATGTGTTGTGCTGGATTTGCCACAAACATAACGCTTTGTATTCAGGACATAAAGTTCATTTCTCTGCTAATTTCTTTGCTGTTTTACTTTAGTGCCTTATTGCAAACAGGATGCATGTTTTGTAATATCTTTATTCAGTACAGGCTTCCTTCTTTTCACTCTGTCAATTAGGCTAGTATTGTGGAGTAACGACAATGTTGTTGATCCGTCCTCAGTTTTCTCCTATCACAGCCATTAAACTCTAACTGTTTTAAAGTCACCATTGGCCTCATGGTGAAATCCCTGAGCGGTTTCCTTCCTCTCCGGCAACTGAGTGAGAAAGGACGCCTGTATCTTTGTAGTGACTGGGTGTATTGATACACTATCCAAAGTGTAATTAATAACTTCACCATGCTCAAAGGGATAATCAATGTTTGCTTTTTTATCAACCAATAGGTGCCCTTCTTTGCGAGGCATTGGAAAACCTCCCTGGTCTTTGTGGTTGAATCACTGCTCTACTGAGGGACCTTACAGATAATTGTATGTGTGGGGTACAGAGATGAGGTAGTCATTCAAAAATCACGTTAAACACTAGTGAGTCCATGCAATTTATTATGTGACTCGTTAAGCAAATGTTTACTCCTGAACGTATTTAGGCTTGCCATAACACAGGGGTTGACTCATGACATTTCAGCTTTTCATTTGTCATTAATTTGTAAAAATGTCTAAAAAGATAATTCCACTTTGACATTATGGGGTATTGTGTGTAGGCCAGTGACACAAAATCTCAATTTAATCCATTTTAAATTCAGGCTGTAACACAACAAAAATGTGGAAAAAGTAAAGGGGTGTGGATAGTTTCTGAAGGCACTGTACTGTCTATGTGAGGGGGGAAAGGCACCACTCTCGCTCTTCAAGTTAAGTAAGAGTCTACTGACACACCCGTGTGTCAATCTCAAATCAAATCTTATTTGTCACATGCGCAGAATACAACAGGTGTAGACCTTACCGTGAAATGCTTACTTACAAGCCCTTAACCAACAATGCAGTTCAAGAAATAGATTCAAGAAAATATTTACTAAATAAACTAAAGTTAAAAATAAAATAAAAAGTAACACAATAAAATAACAATAACGAGGCTATATAACGAGCCCCCCCCCCCCCCCCCCCCCCCCCCCCAGTTTACCTTCACCAGTAAGTTCTTCATCTTGGTTCCTTGTTGGAGGAGCTGGACGGTTTCCTCTTTAAGGATTTTCTGCACAAACTCCACTGCGGCCTTGTTCTTCTGGGTGAGCAGGGCGGCCCACACTGCCCTGTTGAGCACAGTGCTGTCCTCGCTGGGCGCACCACCGCTGGGATTATCAATCACCCCCACACGCACACCACCACTGGCCCTCTGCACACACACACACACACGCACACAAGGGAGGTTAGAGAGCACTTAGCCTAGCACTGATTTATTACACACTCCTATTTACAGAGTGGAGGTGTCAAGAAAGGAGTGAAGAATGTTAATTGAATTAATATAACCTTCAAGGTGTATTCTCTTCTTTTGTAAAGACAACACACAATAGCAGCTTGTTTAAGTGCTGTAATGTTCCTCCTTCCCTCGTTGTCTGCACCATGAGAACTTTGACATCTGCACATAGCATTATGTCAAGCTTAATGGCCCAGTGGAGTCAAAAACGTGATTTTCCTGTGTTTTATATACACTCGTCGGACAGTTTATTAGGTACACCCATCTAGTACCGGTCGGATCCCCCTTTGTCTTCAGAACTGCCTGAATTCTCCGGGGCATGGATTCTACAAGGTTTTGGAAACGTCCCACAGGGATGTTGGTCCATGCTGACGCTACGGCATCACGCAGTTGCTGCAGATTGGAGGCGGTACATACATGCTGCCAACAGCCAGTTCATCTCATCCCAAAGATGCTCTATTGGGTTTGGTTAGCAACAATGTTCAGATACGCTGTGGCGTTCAATCGTTGCTCAATTGGTATCAAGGGACCTAACGTGTGCCAGGAAAACATTCCCCACACCATTACACCACCATCACCAGTCTGTACCGTTGATACCAGGCAGGATGGGGCCATGGACTCATGCTGCTTACGCCAAATCCTGACTCTGCCATCAGCATGACGCAACCAGGATTCGTTGGACCAGGCAATGTTTTTCCACTCCTCAGTTGTCCAGTGTTGGTGATCGCGTGCCCACTGGAGCTGCTTCTTCTTGTTTTTAGCTGATAGGAGTGGAACCCGGTGTGTGGTCGTCTGTTGCAATAGCCCATCCGTGACAAGGATCGACGAGTTGTGTGTTCCGAGATGCCGTTCTGCACACCACAGCTGTACTGCGCCACTATTATGTCTGTCTGTGGTCCGCCTGTTAGCTTGCACGATTCTTGCCATTCTTCTTCGACCTCTCTCATCCACGAGCTGTTTTCGCCCACAGGACTGCTGCTGACTGGATGTTTTTTGTTTGTTGCACCATTCTCAGTAAACCCTAGACACTGTCATGCGTGAAAAGCCCAGGAGGGCGGCCATTTCTGAGATACTGGATCTCGCGCCCCTAGTACAGACGATCATACCACATTCAATCTAACAGTAATTGAATGCCTCAACGCCTGTCTGACTGCTTTATATAGCAAGCCATGGCCACGTGTCTCACTGTCTGTTGGAGCGATACATTTTCGTGAACGGGGTGTTGTATCTAATAAACTGGCCGGTGAGTGTATATTTCCACACTATGAGGTTGGAATAATACTGTGAAATTTTGAAAATTATGATAGTTCCCTTTTAGTGTAAGAGCTGTTTGAAAATACTTTCAGCCTGTTTTGGTGGGATGGAGTTTTCCATGGTGACATCATCATGCGGTAAATTAGTTAATAGACCAATAAGAGAGTGCCAAACCTCTCTGCCAATAACAGCTAATTTTCAGTTTTCCCCTTCCCACTCAGACCACTCCCAGACAGTCCTAGCAAAATCCTTGCTTGAGAAATTGCCCTTTGCTAAGAAGCTATGTTTCTTTTTGACCATTTTAATTGAAGAAAAAAATCACAGTAAGGTACCTTTAACTTTGCCTATACAAAACATTTTGAGGATGTCCTTGAAATTACTGCAGACAGGAGATTTATTGTGAGAATAGGTGAGATTTCACTAACTTTATAACATTCTTGTCTCTTGTTGACAAGGTATTGTCTGTCTCAGTAGAGAGCTCATAATAACTATACCTTCTTAAAAATAAGCCTCAATAGCTTGCAGTGGCCAGACCTTCATGACTCTACTAATAGTCTTTCTCTTCTTATCTGCAGTAAAGTGAGGTATAACCCTGGCTGTATTTTATATCAACCATGGAATATTTATGTGGGTGTTTATCAGAGAATAACAACTGCAGCCTTTGTTTTCATTTCAGGCCAAGGTAAAATGGTGTCCCACGTGAGTTTTAAAATTTTAATTCCAACAAAGATTCTCCATGGCAGCTGGATAGTAATTAAAGTCTAGGGGTATACCTACCTTGCTTGACTACATTAAAAGCTAAATTTGCATTGGTGTGGCGCAGGCCACTGCAGTGTACTTAATTAGGATTCCTAAATCACATTGACGTGACTGATCGGCAGTACTGAGCAAAAAGTCAGATGTTAATTTTTGTAATTTATAAATGATCATTAATACATAGCTTAATTCATAGCTCCAAACTTTGCCAGTGAAAATTATGTCATTTGTGCCTTGTGTGGATAAGGGAAAGGAGAAGATCTGCAGTAGAGCAGGGTTTCTCAAACTCGGTCCTCGGGCCCTCCCTGGGTACACGTTTTGGTTTTTGCCCTAGCACAACCCAGCTGATTCAAATAACCAACTCATCATCAAGCTTAATTATTTGAATCAGCTGTGTAGTGCTAGGGCAAAAAACACAATGTGCACCCAGGGAGGGCCCCCCATGTCAGAGTTTGGGAAACCCTGCAGTAGCGTACAGCAGCAGAATCTCACCAAGTGTTTCAGTGCGTTCAGCAGCAGTCTTCTCCCTGAGGCCTTTTCAAAATCCCCAACGATCCACACAGTCACTCCATTAATCCCATCCTCGTCTGGAAATAAACATCAATTACTGTACAACGCAACATTTCAAATAGGGTGACATTTCTGAAAGCAGAAAAACTGCCATTGTCAAAAAGCACTGAATCATTTCAAATGCTCAAATACACAGTGACTCAGCCAGTCTTGACATCAAATATAAAGCAGATATTAAAGTATTTCTGACAATTTTTTCAGTTAAAAAGAGGGATCTCAATCTTAAAGCTCCAGCATGCTTATAAGGGAATATTGCTAATCCCTTAAAAAGGGTCTTGACACAGACCACCTACTGACAGTGGAGACGGGCAGTGAGAAGGGAATTAAATCTGGCTCAAGTTATATGATCCAGAGAGAAGAGAGAGAGAGTGAGAGAGAGGCACAGTCCTTGAGAAAAGCACACTAAATCAGAAGGAGATTGTGCAACCTGTCAGGGTTTACTGCTTCATTCCCCCCTGTCACCTTCCTCAGCCTCTCAGCTTCCCTGGGCAGCTCCAGCCCCACCCTGACTCTGAGCAGGGCTCCCCAGGCAGGATGCAGCAGAGTTGGGGCTGAGGCCGGACCAATGGACCACTGGCCTGATGCCAAACTATTAACCAGGGCGCAGTGCAATTACCTCAGACCAAGCACAGACGGCTCCCCTAACGGGCAATTTTACACATCCCTGGATCCATACTAATATGTTGGTATATTATCTGTGTGTAAAGTGTGACGATCCGCCTGGTGAAATGAAATGTTTGACGAACAAACACACCTCAGACGTTCCCACCCTCGTATAAGCTGCTCAGCTTTTTCGGAACAAATAGTTTATACCCTTGTTCAAGTATACTCAACCATACATCACTACAGTATTTACACTCAAGGGAGAAAGAAATATAAAATCAGGAGTGCCACAAAAGTATACCCTGCCTCTTACCATTTTTGGTGAAATACTTCATTCTTTTTGCTATGACAGCAGTCTTGTCCTTGGAGTCCAGGTATGAGAACATGGTGGTGTCCTCCCACTCATATACAACTGAAAGGAGAAAATGAATAATCTTAACAAAAGTATTGTAAATTGTATTGAGACTGTATTGTCAATACACACATTATCAAAGGACAAGAATGTGTTATTTGTTACCTGGAGTGGCTGTGAGATCCAGATATGTCCTGTCAGTGCTGAGGATGAGAGGGTTGATGCGTGGCACCACATTGGCCTGGTCCATCAGATGGTCCACCACATCTGTCCCCTCAGTAAGCTGGCCCTGGTCATGTGAAGTGAGGAAATCATATTATTTACATAACCTATTCAACCAAATCAGTTGACCTAGAGACAGTTCTCATATTAAATAACAAACTAAGATCTGTTTCCACAAATGGACAATAAATGGACACAAATGGACAATATGATAATGACTACAATTCCCCCAACAGTTCTTACCATGTAGACAGCTCTCTGGAAGAAGTTGGTGGTGTCCATGATGCGCTGTAGGATGACAGTCTCCAGTTCATCTGGGTCCATCTCCTCAGCATTGAGTGGGACTCCGTTGAACAGAGCCAGAGGCAGGGGGCCCAAGCCACTCTTCTTGTAGAACATTGCCCCTGCCTGTTGTCCCCAACACAGACCAGAGCCTGGGTTAATGGACACTCAAGCTATTTGATTAAGTTCCTCGGCTTCAAGTACGCGCACACTCGTGAAGAAGCCGCGACCGCGCCTCTTCCCCCCTCAGCAAGTTGAAAAGGTTTGGCATGGGCCCTCAAATCCTCAAAAGGTTCTACAGCTGCACCATTGAGTGCATCTTGACTGACTGCATCACTGCTTGGTATGGCAACAGCACTGCCCTCGATCGCATGGCGCTACAGAGGGTGGTGCAGACAGCCCAGTATATCACTGGGGCCGAGCACCCTGCCATCCAGGACCTCTATATCAGGTGGTGTGAAAGCCACCCAAGCCATAGAATGTTCTCTCTTTCCTGTTTCATGAGTTATTTATGCATTATGAACAAACATTTAGAGGCATGTAATCAAATTAATCTGGTATTTTGAAACTGTAATATACTTTATCTTATGGTTTACATTTGAAAAGTACATGCACAAGAGAAACATACCGTCCATTAACCATACCTTTCTTTTGTCATCATACTCAGAATCCTCCCCAAGAATCCTTGCAGCACTGGCTTTGGGGTACTTCTTCTTGAGATATGCAGACACTGTGTCAACAGACAATGTCTCGCCGATCTCCACTTTGTTGTACATCTGCAAGTGCACAAAAAAGGTCAGTGAGACTTGACCATCACTCTCCATTACATCAAAGGCACTGTCCATAACTTCCAGGCCTGCCTACATAGGCTGATGCCTCAGGACTCCTCACTCGTCTAGTCCAATAATGTCTGAGACAGCGGCCCAACAGAGAGGGCACCATTATACAACTGAGAAACATCAAAGAGACATGAGCTTGTAAAAGATTGTGTTTAAATAATTCCACAAGAAAGTGCTTGCTGGAAATGGGTAAGCATGAGATACTCACAGAGACCATAGACATGAGAGCCTGTGATAAATCATACTCGTCGGCGATGTAATTCAGCAGCCGGAAAAATGCAACTCCAGCATCCATAGTTCCATCGACTTCGTCTTCAGTATTGACGACAAACACAAATCCAATCCTTAAAGAAGCAGAAAAATACATTGTTTCAATTTGCAGACAAAGTCTGAGTCACCATCTGGTGGAGTTGACAGGTGCAAAGAGAAACGTGTAGTTCTCTGCAACCTATAAAGTACCTGAGAGGAATCTTGTGTTTGTAGAAGAGCTCTGCCAGTTTCACCAGCTCAATGCTCTCTTCCTGAACTGGGTCCAGCAACAGCACCTGAAAACAAAAGAACGTAAGACTTCTCAGCTAGAAAAACATCCTTACATAATCAGTTTACTCTGACATGTAGGTCTATTGTAGTGCAAATTCACCTGACCACCATGTATTATACAGGATTTCCTCTAAAAGATGAAACAACTGTTCCAGTGGCTTTGTGTCACAACCCTTCCCAAATGTCCTTTCTTCTCACCAGGTTGAAAAAGTTGCGTCGTATCTGGCGGATCACTCCGGGGAACGTGGCTCTGAGGAGTTCCTGAACACCGGAGGGCCAGCTGCGGTACATGGAGTCTGTCTCGATGTCGTTAATCCACTGGGAAAGGAAAGAGGAAAGCTGGTTTAGTGTGGAAGGTTGTGGAATTAGTTTTGTCTTAAACTGAGTTTAAGTGTCCCGAGGCCCAAATACATCAGAGTAATCAGCACAGTGAAAGCTTTGCGAGCGTAGCTGCATTTAATTAGAATTCAGTACTTTAATACTAAAATAAGCCACACTCACATCAGACAGAAATATTGGCAACCGTAACCTCAATACCATACATATCAGCAACCTACAGTTTTAGTCTTGAAAACGATCAAATTAATTAAATGCGACTGCACTTTATCCCATATTCCCCAAGGAGCAGATGATAGATGATACAGTGCATTGGGAAAGTATTCAGACCCCTTGACTTTTTCCACATTTTGTTACTTTACAGCCTTATTTTAAAATGGATTAAATTGGGGGATTTCCTCGTCAATCTACACACAATACCCCATAATGTCAAAGCAAAAACAGGTTTTTAGAAATGTTAAATACAGTATTTCTGTTTTTAATTTGTAATACATTTGTAAAAATGTTTAAACCATTATGGGGAATTGTGTGTAGATTGATGAGGAAAATGTTTTATTTAATCCATTTTATAATAAGGCTGTAACGGTGAAAAAGAGAAGTGGTCTGAATACTTTCCGAATGCACTGTATGTTTGTGCCATCTGAATGAAAAGTGCATGGGAGGTTAGCTACATGTATATACTCCAGTGTTAGGAGGTAGGGAAGCAGATGCCTACTGTAGCTTAATCATCCATTACAAGCCAAACTGGCACTAACAGAACTCTCTCCCCCCCTCAGAACGCTGAGAAACCTCCCTGAGAAACAAAGAGCCACAATGGGATACCAGCACTCCTGTCCATCTCTGCACAGAGCAGACAACCCAAAGGGGAACATTTTCTACTTGCCTCACTGAGAGAAAAGACAGACAGCCAGCCTGATTGGAAGAAGACATTCTCTAGATGAAATGTCACGTCCATTTGTTGGTTTTTTCCCCCAAGGTTTTTTCCATAATAAAATGGCAGAGGGGCCTCATTTTTTTTTTTTTTTTGATACAGTAGCTTTCCTTGGCTGGCTGCCCAGTGTATAATTGAGGTTTTTGGCAGACTGGGACTAGTGCAATAGTCTGGTGACTGATCCTCTAATCCACACCCCGATGCCAGCACTCAAGACAAAGCACCTGCAATGCTGATCTGGGCCAGGAGAAAGAAAGAAAAACCATCCCTTCCACAGGACGATGGTTGTTGGCACAGGTTCATCTCTCAGGTTGTTTTCACATATAGTCCTCTTTCAAATAATCGATCTCAGTCCTCTTTAAAGTGAACTCTGGGGTAAAAAAAAAGAAGCTAAAGAACTCGGTTCTCTTTGTATTAACACTGCCCTTGCCTTTGAATTAGGACTCAACTATTTTGCCAGTTCAATTCACCTATTCTGTGGTCCGAGTCCTCTTTGCATTCACATTGTTATGTTTAGAAAGGAACCAAGATCTTTGTCCAACATTCACACAATGGACAAGCCATTCCATCAGAACGTGTTATCGGACAGCTAGATATACAAATAAAATCAAATTTTATTGGTCACATACACGTGTTTAGCAGATGTTATTGCGGGTGTAGCGAAATGCTTAAATTCTTTTTTATACCTACTTACATTTTGAAAGCTAATAGATTGAATTTAGTTAAAAGATGAGACATACAGTAATAATTATAATTTGACGATAATATAAACATGTAAATATTATTGGTAACAGAATAAATAGCAGAAGAATACTGCAGATTAAATAATGCTGTAATTTAAAATTGTACACCCAATGTAGGCTACTGGCCCTTTAAAAGTTAGTTTTGATTTTGTGGTTGGTGCTATCTGGGATCTTTTGGATGTCCCTACCCTAAATCCTACCCATAAACCTTAACCCTTACCTTAACCATTGTAAATGTCAACTTCAATGGGGTAACGTCAGAGTTGGGACGTCCCAAGGATACCGGATAGCAAGGACCTTGGTTTTGTACCCTATGTTGTGATTCTCACCAAATATGTTGTCTTTTCACACTATTCAAACCCCACAATCGAATAACAGCGTATGAAGCTTTCTTAGCTTATAGATCACATATTGCAAACAAATAATCTGAGCATCGTGTCAGTATAAAAACTCCACACATATTTTAGAATTTCTGTGCATCCTTGACAATTGCTAATTAATATCCAAAAACAGCACACGTTTTTTCCACTAAGCTGCACATCATCATCTTCTCTCTTTTGTGGCACCAAAGTGAGGGGTTATTGCAGTATTCTAGTGTGTGGTGCTGGAATAATGACAAGCGAACATGGGGAGCTTTGTGTTCACATTGACCTAAAAAAGGGAACTGGACCACGGAATTCAAGCAAACCAAACTCAGACCACCTCTCGAGATGGTCTCAGTTCGGTTCGCTTCAGGGGCTCTTTTGAGGGGTATGAGTTTTCACACTGAACAAAAAATTAACGAACCGCACTGAGTTCACAAAAATTGGCTGAAAGGAACCAAGTGTGAAAGCACCCTGACTCTCACCGTTATAGCTGGATGACGGATGTCTAAGGCGTAGTTTTCTTCCACTGGGTTCATGGGCAGTCTCAGTAGCTTTCCTAGGTCCTCTCCCGTAATGCCCAGGTTATGGAGGCCCTCCAGGATCTTGGCTTCTCCTCTGATAGTGTCCAAGATGCTACCAAATAAAGAGAATCAGAGAAATCGCAGGTCAGCTTTCATCTCCCCCGAGCAGGGCAGCTGTCTGTAGGAGGTGCGCTAGGATAGCTCTGATCCTGTATCCCTGGATCACTGAGCTGTGGGCAGCAAGCGCTGAGGCTGGGGCGACCCGGGGAGAGAGAGCAGAGAGCAGGCAGGCTGACGGTTGATCCTCCCTGCTGAGTTGAGCTCCTACTGTACCTGAAGGGGTTGTGGACATCCAGATCAATGTGCAGGCCGTTAATGAACAGGCCTCCATCTCCCGGATGGATCCCCATGGTCTCACTCAGCCGCTGGAATAGAGACGATTCACTGCTGTTAGTCTGATGCCAACCAAACCCTCATTATCTCTATAGTATATGGCTGATATTACAATGTAGAAATATATTCTAAGGGCTGTAAGCTCTGAGATGCCAGAGGAAAGAATGTAAGAGCATTTACAATAATAGCCGTAAACAGATGATACGTTGAGACCTCACATTAGACAAACAAGTGCACAGTCTTAGGGACAAACTGCTGCTTCTGATATCACACCTTTTGGTTCTCCTCAATTTCTCTTCTCATTTCTTGGTTTACGGACACTCTTGTCAGTGATCTGTGGGAACAGTAAAACATGTAGTCACCATCAGTTTTTTCCCCCGCATCGAGCAGTAAAACCCCTGTTTAATCTCCCAAATCTGTGGGCCCTCAGATGGTATATCTACAGCCGACTCTCTGTAATCACGCGCCAGACCGCTGACTCAGCACTCCTGGGTTGTTGTTCATAACAGCTGTCTAAAACAAGTTACATCCCATGATCGGATTCAAGTCTACAAGCTCTGAGAACTTCTTCTTATTTCATTTCAAATGGGCTTATTTATTCCTGCAGACTGTGCAAGCGTTTTTAAATAGAAAGAGTGAGGTGTATAGCTTTACCTGGCTTTGCTGGGGAAGTTCTGACTGAGGTCTCTCATAAGCTTCAGCGCATCAAACTTTGGTACAGACATGATCCTGGCCGCTGCCTGGAAGCTTAGATCTGCAGATGTTTTCATCAGAAGTTGAAATCTTATGAAGTTGAACCAGTTAATAACCTTTTCTTGGAAAGGTAGATCACCTTGGGATGCCTATATTACTTGGTGAAAATGTTCCATGCATAAAAAAACTATTGTTCATTTGTGACATATAGATTAAATAAAATATTGAATAAAATATTGATTTCAATCAAATAATTGATTCAGACTGAGGCACTACGTAAAACTCTGTGAACTGTGAAGTTGGTACACATATCATTAGCTCAATTTCTAAATATTTCAAATAGTAGACCATTTTCCCTTTCCCTAGGATATCATACCATGCTGTGTAGAACTGATTGTGCATAAGGGTTATCGAAAGCTTGGTTAGTCCTGCCCATTTCCACTCTACTTCATACAATCAAAGTAATAGCACACGGGTGGGAGCAACATGTGGCCAAGCCCGGTACATTGAACATGTACTTGACAGTCTCTACTGTACATAAACTGATTGCTTTACTAAGCTCAAGAGTAAAGTGCTATAATTTCCATTCCATTGCCATTAATCAAACTGTCACCACAGTGATCCTCACAGTCAGTAAGTGGCACACAGGCTAGCACATACAGTGGGGGGGGGGGGGGGGGGGGGGGGGAGTATTTAGTCAGCCACCAATTGTGCAAGTTCTCCCACTTAAAAAGATGAGAGAGGCCTGTAATTTTCATCATAGGTACACGTCAACTATGACAGACAAAATGAGAAAAAAAAATCCAGAAAATCACATTGTAGGATTTTTAATGAATTTATTTGCAAATTATGGTGGAAAATAAGTATTTAGTCAATAACAAAAGTTTCTCAATACTTTGTTATATACCCTTTGTTGGCAATGACACAGGTCAAACGTTTTCTGTAAGTCTTCACAAGGTTTTCACACACTGTTGCTGGTATTTTGGCCCATTCCTCCATGCAGATCTCCTCTAGAGCAGTGATGTTTTGGGGCTGTCGCTGGGCAACACGGACTTTCAACTCCCTCCAAAGATTTTCTATGGGGTTGAGATCTGGAGACTGGCTAGGCCACTCCAGGACCTTGAAATGTTTCTTACGAAGCCACTCCTTCGTTGCCCGGGCGGTGTGTTTGGGATCATTGTCATGATGAAAGACCCAGCCACGTTTCATCTTCAATGCCCTTGCTGATGGAAGGAGGTTTTCACTCAAAATCTCACGATACATGGCCCCATTCATTCTTTCCTTTACACGGATCAGTCGTCCTGGTCCCTTTGCAGAAAAACAGCCCCAAAGCATGATGTTTCCACCCCCATGCTTCACAGTAGGTATGGTGTTCTTTGGATGCAACTCAGCATTCTTTGTCCTCCAAACACGACGAGTTGAGTTTTTTACCAAAAAGTTATATTTTGGTTTCATCTGACCATATGACATTCTCCCAATCCTCTTCTGGATCATCCAAATGCACTCTAGCAAACTTCAGACGGGCCTGGACATGTACTGGCTTAAGCAGGGGGACACGTCTGGCACTGCAGGATTTGAGTCCCTGGCAGCGTAGTGTGTTACTGATGGTAGGCTTTGTTACTTTGGTCCCAGCTCTCTGCAGGTCATTCACTAGGTCCCCCCGTGTGGTTCTGGGATTTTTGCTCACCGTTCTTGTGATCATTTTGACCCCACGGGGTGAGATCTTGCGTGGAGCCCCAGATCGAGGGAGATTATCAGTGGTCTTGTATGTCTTCCATTTCCTAATAATTGCTCCCACAGTTGATTTCTTCAAACCAAGCTGCTTACCTATTGCAGATTCAGTCTTCCCAGCCTGGTGCAGGTCTACAATTTTGTTTCTGGTGTCCTTTGACAGCTCTTTGGTCTTGGCCATAGTGGAGTTTGGAGTGTGACTGTTTGAGGTTGTGGACAGGTGTCTTTTATACTGATAACAAGTTCAAACAGGTGTCATTAATACAGGTAACGAGTGGAGGACAGAGGAGCCTCTTAAAGAAGAAGTTACAGGTCTGTGAGAGCCAGAAATCTTGCTTGTTTGTAGGTGACCAAATACTTATTTTCCACCATAATTTGCAAATAAATTCATTAAAAATCCTACAATGTGATTTTCGGAAGAAAAAAAATCTCATTTTGTCTGTCATAGTTGACGTGTACCTATGATGAAAATTACAGGCCTCTCTCATCTTTTTAAGTGGGAGAACTTGCACAATTGGTGGCTGACTAAATACTTTTTTTCCCCACTGTAACTAACGGGTATGGCCAGGGGTTTTTCCTGGTCAGTTCAGGTGGTATACACTGAGTGTAGACAAACAAAAGGTGTAATGGGTCCGCACTCAAAACGTTGTTGCATTAAGCTTACTTAAGAAATAGAAGAAACAGTTTTCTGTAAACTATATACTTATTTTCAATGATAGCTGTAATGGCATCAAGTATACTGTCAATAAACACTGGCATATATTATCAGACTTCTGCCTACCAGAATCAACCTTTATTTATATTTTTTATTTAACCTTTATTTAACTAGGCAAGTCAGTTAAGAACAAATTCTTATTTACAATGACGGCCTACACCGGCCAAACCCGGACGACGCTGGGCCAATTGTGCACCGCCCTATGGGACTCCCAATCACGGCCAGATTGTGATACAGCCTGGAATCAAACCAGGGTCTGTAGTGACGCCTCTAGCACTGAGATGCAGCGCCTTAGACCGCTGCGCCACCCGGGAGCACTATTCACCTATAAACGACCAAGAAATCTATCAAACACATTGGTTAAATCAGATGTGGTCAGAGAGAAAAGAGGCATTCGTAAAAGGATGCTTCACCTGTATATCATATACCTCATGTAGCACCATAAGGAAATATTATAACTTTGTATGCCCTTAGACTTCTAGGACCTATGAGATAAAGTAATGTATAACTTGCAATACTAAAGGAGTTATTTATATGTTACAGTGTTCTTGCAATAAGATTTATATTGGAAAAACATCCCGCGCCTTGAAGAACATAAATCCACTATCAGACGTCAAGATATCACCTCACCAGTTACAAGACACTTTATAGAACAAAATCATTCTATTAATGAATTGCGTTGCGTCGGGATCTAAAATGTTCATCCTCCACGCAGAGGAGGTGATTACAACAAGAAAAGACGCCATGTCAATAAATACAAGTAATTCTGTATCTCCACATGGTTCAAACGAATAACGAGATTTCACCTCCTTCCTATAGGCCAAAAGTTATACAAGAACACTGTCCATATCAGATTTTACATATCGTTTATGAGTTAGCCCAACACATTCATGAACGGTTGAGCCTGATGTCATTTGTGGTAAGCTATCTCATGAATTGATATAATGTATGTGAGTAAGTGAGCAGGCACATAAGGCAATTGATTAATGAATGGTTCATGCCTGATGCCCTCAATTGCCCTTTGTGCCCACTCCCATATCCTATAATTCTGTATTTCTGTGACTAACTTGTATACAGGTAGACCAGAAAAGCTACATCCCTGATTGGCAGATGAGTGGCAACCCTGATTAGAAGCACCTGCTGCTCATCAGTTGTTCCCTACAAATGCTGTTTTTAATTAAAATAAAATTGTACCTACACACTGAAGAAGGCTGCAAAGCCGAAATGTCTATGTACGCTATCCCTGATGCAGTGAAAATAACAATAACAAAATTGAAAAATGAGGTGAGCTTTGTGACATCTTTTCGAGTGTGGACCCATTACACCTTTTGTTTGTCTGAATTTGCGGGTTTTACGCACCAGCCAAGCTTCTGGGAGAGCGCCATGGTCCCCTTTTGATACACTGAGTGTACAAAATATTAAGAGCACCTTCCTAATATTGAGTTGCACACTCTAATATTGAGTTTGTACACTCAAGGTATCTATTAGCTAGGGCCTTGAGTGTTTCCTAGTCAGGTCATGTGGTCAGGAAAAACGTATAACATAACTAATGGATGCTCAGTACCTTGAAGCTCCCACACTTTGAGAGGAGTCATGTCGTTGGTGCTCTCCAACAGATGCTTCCGGAGCTCCCCTAGCTGCTCCTCCAGGTCTGGGTGGGATTTTCTGGGACAGAACAAGACAGAAGGTGATACTATGGTTCCAATTGTATTATACAAATATATTGACTTATAAATACATTGACTTACTTCAATTTCCCAAAGAGAAAGCCCTGGACTTCATCAATGTCATCCTCATCAGTGTTCACTGCTCCTTTATCTTTAGAAAAGCAGAGTTGCCATTAACATTCTTCAATTGGCATCAGTTCAATATATATTTTAATACAGAATAAGCATGCATAAACAAACCTTTTACTTGTGTGTCATCCACAGCTTTATATTCGGTGCTTTTTATGGCCAATTCAACACCATATCCAGACAACAGCATCTTCTGAGGCTTTGGCTCCTGTAGTGGAAATCAGCAATGGAAATATAATCTTAACCATAAAAGCATGTGTTTTAATTCAATGTAAGGGGGAAGAAAAACATTGATTTACACTTCAAGGCCTATAAGAAATCATGTTTTCTTCATGAGTGGACAAACTGGTAGTGCATGCCAAAGGGCCTTGCATGTTAACTTCAACTCCATGACCCTGTGATTCTTAAGATTTTATTCACATCTCAGAGACATGAGGTGCTCTGAATGTGTAGTCTTTTACACCTACGCGGTAGCTCGTGAACTCTGTGGTACATCTCTGAAAAGAACACATTAGTGCTGCTTCTCACAGTGTCAGGCCATCCGTTACTCAGGCCCCAGCTAACTTCCTCTGGTTATCTGTATTCTCCTGCTGAACACTGGCAGCTAATGCAATCCATTTGTTGTACAGCCCTGATGACCTCACCCTTTGTGGATGTTGTTCTTAAAGCTGCAATGGCCTTCCTGTCACCCCCTCCATTCCATCTTCCCACAGAGCTCAAAGTTGGGACCAGTGTTCTCCATTAGCATGAACACTTCCAAGCTTCCAACAACATGCAATCTTACATCCGTCCAATATTGGTTAGAACCAAATCAGATTTTCACATGTAGAAGAGCATAGCCAACCATTATGAGTTATAGCAACTGAGGATAAAAAAAAACGGCATACAGTGGTCATTTAATAGATTACTGTTCAAAATAAGTGTGGTAAAGCACCCGGTTTTGAGGACAGTTGTTGTACCCCCTATAAAATCCCACTTCAATCCCTGGCTAGAGCGTATCAATCTTTAAATACCGTTAAAAATGATTAAGGAAATCCAAAAAGCCTCACTACTCACAGCTACAAAGTGACGTAGCACATAGATGAGCTTGCCCTCCGCAGCCTTCTCAGCCAGCACCTTGTGGAAAGAGCCAAACTTTTTGGTGCCGATCTCAGCATAAAGGATCACAACAGGGACATCTGTTTTATTGAGTCCAGGGTATCTGTGCTCATTCTTGTATAGATAAGGTTTTGGCCTGCAAACACGTAAAAAGAAAGTTAGATTCCACCATTTACATACAAATCTATAATTTGTACTAATCAAACTTGAATGACGTCATTTATTAACTGTTAATTATAAAATAACAGATTTTAATTTCATTTATTATAATTTTTGTTGTTAGTTTCCTCTAGCACTAGAGTGAGGTAGATCCTCTGAGGAGATGAGTATGAAGTTGTGTGTAGCTACCTGCCTGCAGCTTCCTTCAGGAGCTTCTTCAAATCCTTTGTGCTGCAGCCATGTTGGCCATGGACCGAAACAAAGGCAAGGCATGCCTCAGGCGGAGACTCATCACTGCCTATCTGTTGAGAGCAGAGGAGCGACACAATTCGGCTACAGCATTAGGGCTGTGGCAGTCATGAGATGTTGTCATCCGGTTGTCATGCAAAAGACTGGCAGTCTCACGGTAATTGACCGTTAATTAACATAAACACATTTAGCATCTCCAGGCCGCCACACATACAAGCCGCTGATGGGCGCCTTTTGAATATCTACATTAAAAAAAGTATAATAAATCAATTTAATATATACCATCACAATAAATCCATTATTTATTTTAGGCAAGTCTAAAGAAACATTATGATATGAAGAAAATGTATTTCAGAAAAGCAGAATATGAGTTGGCCTACTGTATGTTAGTTATCTGGCTATGCTCCATGCTGTAGGGTTGTTCATTTAGCTGACAAGATATGCTTATAAGTCCCTTGCCATTATTTTATTTTATATGATTTTATAGTAAGAAGAATATAATTGAACTTAGCTGAATAAAATTGAAAGGATATTTTTTCCATTACGGAGCAAGTGTGCATGTGGAGTGGCTATGTTGAGCTTAAAAGTGATCATTTGAAACAGGTCCTACAGTATATGACAGATTTAGAGTTCTTTGGCAACTTTAGTTGTGAATGACACAAACCTATACAGAAGATAGCCCTATTTGGTAAAAGACCAAGTCCATATTATGGCAAGAACAGCTCAAATAAGCAAAGAGAAACGACAGTCCATCATTATTTTAAGACATGAAGGTCAGTCAATACAGAACATTTCAAGAACTTTGAAAGTTTCTTCAAGTGCAGTCGCAAAAACCATCAGGCGCTATGATGAAACTGGCTCTCATAAGGACCGCCACAGGAATGGAAGACCCAGAGTTACCTCCGCTGCAGAGGATAAGTTCATTAGAGTTAACAGCCTCAGAAATTGCAGCCCAAATAAATGCTTCACAGAGTTCAAGTAACAGACACATCTCAACATCAACTCTTCAGAGGAGACTGCGTGAATCAGGCCTTCATGGTCGAATTGCTGCAAATAAACCACTACTAAAGGACACCAATAATAAGAAGAGACTTGCTTGGGCCAAGAAACACAAGCAATGGAGATTAGACCAGTGGAGATTTGTCCTTTGGTCTGGAGTCCAAATTTGAGATTTTTGGTTCCAACCGCCGGGTCTTTGTGAGACGCGTGTGAGTGAATGGATGATCTCTGCATGTTTAGTTCCCACCGTAAAGCATGGAGGAGGAGGTCTTATGGTGTGGGGGTGCTTTGCTGGTGACACTGTCTGTAATTTATTTAGAATTCAAGGTACACTTAACCAGCATGGCTACCACAGCATTCTGCAGCGATACGCCATCCCATCTGGTTTGGGCTTAGTGGGACTATCATTTGTTTTTCAACAGGACAATAACCCAACACACCTCCAGGCTGTGTAAGGGCTATTTTACCAAGAAGGAGAGTGACGGAGTGCTGCATCAGATGACCTGGCCTTCACAATCCCCCGACCTCAACCCAATTGAGATGGTTTGGGATGAGTCGGACCGCAGAGTGAAGGAAAAGCAGCCAACAAGTGCTAAGCATATGTGGGAACTCCTTCAAGACTGTTGGAAAAGCATTCCAGGTGAAGCTGGTTGAGAGAATGCCAAGAGTGTGCAAAGCTGTCATCAAAGCAAATGGTGGTTATTTGAAGAATCTCAAATATAAAATATATTTTGATTTGTTTAACACTTTTTTGGTTACTACATGATTCCATATGTGTTATTTCATAGTTTTGATGTCTTCACTATTACTCTACAATGTAGAAAATAGTAAAAATAACGAAAAACCCTTGAATGAGTGGTGTTCTAAAACTTTTGACCGGTAGTGTATGGGCTGCATGGTGCGACTATAGACTATTGATGATTTGAGAAAGTAGCAAAAAAAGCTTGTGCCCCAGGCTGCACAGCTGTTCTCTCATCAAGTGATCATATTTTCACCAATCAGACTATTCTCAATTTAATCAGGTATTTTGATTTATAATGGCCCATTGGCTCCCGAGTGGCGCAGGGGTCTAAGGCACTGCATCGCAGTGCTTGAGGCGTCACTGCAGACCCGGGTTCGATCCCAGGCTGTGTCGCAGCCGGCCGCGACCGGGAGACCCATGAGGCGGTGCACAATTGGCCCAGCGTTGTCCGGGTTAGGGGAGGGTTTGGCTGGCTGGGATGTCCTTGTCCCATCGCACTCTAGCGACTCCTTTTGGCGGCCGGGCGCATGCACGCTGACTTCGGTCGGCAGTTATACAGTGTTTCCTCCGACACATTGGTGCGGCTGGCTTCCGGGTTAAGCGAGCAGTGTGTCAAGAAGCAGTGCGGCTTGACAGGGTCATGTTTCAGAGGACGCATGGCTCTCGACCTTCGCCTCTCCCGAGTCTGTATGGGAGTTGCAGCGATGGGACAAAACTACCAATTGGATATCACAAAAAAGGGCTAATAAATGTTTACTAAATAAAGAATGGCCCATTATGAAATGGACATTAACAGGGGCAGGAGAAAAAATACATGTCATCTGTATGCACTCGAATAGCAAATGGAGGCTGTGCGCTTTCCAGCCGGTCTGTTTTGTAGGCTACTTCGGTTTTATAGCAGAGCATGAGCTTATTATGAGTAGCTGAGAAATAAATATAAGAAAACTTATTTCACTCCACGCATCAACCACTGTTTGAGGAGCATGCTCTCGCTGCCCGACAGGTGATATTCCGCCCAATCTCTGAATGCCATGGCCTCTCCAACCTTGTTCCTGCAGCTACCCAGTGCTTAGTTTGGCAAACCAAGTGAAATCTGTTCAAGAACATCGATAGTAACATGTTTTCACAACAAAACATATTTCACTAAACTGTTGACAGCCCGTCTGCACGCTCAAGAAAGGAATAAAGGGGAGAGAGGAGATGGAAACGCATGGTGGTGAGATATTCTGTAGCTAAAGGTAATGTGTCACCCAATTAATTATTTTATATACAGTGGGGAGAACAAGTATTTGATACACTGCCAATTTTGCAGGTTTTCCTATTTACAAAGCATGTAGAGGTCTGTAATTTTTTATCATAGGTACACTTCAACTGTGAGAGACGGAATCTAAAACAAAAGTCCAGAAAATCACATTGTATGATTTTTAAGTAATGAATTTGCATTTTATTGCATGACATAAGTATTTGATCACCTACCAACCAGTAAGAATTCCGTCTCTCACAGACCTGTTTCGTTTTTCTTTAAGAAGCCCTCCTGTTCTCCACTCATTACCTGTATTAACTGCACCTGTTTGAACTCGTTACCTGTATAAAAGACACCTGTCCACACACTCAATCAAACAGACTCCAACCTCTCCACAATGGCCAAGACCAGAGAGCTGTGTAAGGACATCAGGGATACATTTGTAGACCTGCACAAGGCTGGGATGGGCTACAGGACAATAGGCAAGCAGCTTGGTGAGAAGGCAACAACTGTTGGCGCAATTATTAGAAAATGGAAGAAGTTCAAGATGACGGTCAATCACCCTCGGTCTGGGGCTCCATGCAAGATCTCACCTTGTGGGGCATCAATGATCATGAGGAAGGTGAGGGATCAGCCCAGAACCACACGGCAGGACCTGGTCAATGACCTGAAGTGAGCTGGGACCACAGTCTCAAAGAAAACCATTAGTAACACACTACGCCGTCATGGATAAAAATCCTGCAGCGCACGCAAGGTCCCCCTGCTCAAGCCAGCGCATGTCCAGGCCCGTCTGAAGTTTGCCAATGACCATCTGGATGATCCAGAGAAGGAATGGGAGGTGGTCATGTGGTCTGATGAGACAAAAATAGAGCTTTTTGGTCTAAACTCCACTCGCCGTGTTTGGAGGAAGAAGAAGGATGAGTACAACCCCAAGAACACCATCCCAACCGTGAAGCACGGAGGTGGAAACATCATTCTTTGGGGATGCTTTTCTGCAAAGGGGACAGGACGACTGCACCGTATTGAGGGGAGGATGGATGGGGCCATGTATCGCGAGATCTTGGCCAACAACCTCCTTCCCTCAGTAAGAGCATTGAAGATGGGTCGTGGCTGGGTCTTCCAGCATGACAACGACCCGAAACACACAGCCAGGGCAACTAAGGAGTGGCTCCGTAAGAAGCATCTCAAGGTCCTGGAGTGGCCTAGCCAGTCTCCAGACCTGAACCCAATAGAAAATCTTTGGAGGGAGCTGAAAGTCCGTATTGCCCAGCGACAGCCCCGAAACCTGAAGGATCTGGAGAAGGTCTGTATGGAGGAGTGGGCCAAAATCCCTGCTGCAATGTGTGCAAACCTGGTCAAGACCTACAGGAAACGTATGATCTCTGTAATTGCAAACAAAGGTTTCTGTACCAAATATTAAGTTCTGCTTTTCTGATGTATCAAATACTTATGTCATGCAATAAAATGCAAATTAATTACTTAAAAATAATACATTATGATTTTCTGGATTTTTGTTTTAGATTCCGTCTCTCACAGTTGAAGTGTACCTATGATAAAAATTACAGACCTCTACATGCTTTGTAAGTAGGAAAACCTGCAAAATCGGCAGTGTATCAAATACTTGTTCTCCCCACTGTATAAAAAATCCCCTATTACTAGGCTATTCAAAATCAAATACAAATTCATTAATTGTAGCCTAACTGTAAGCCGCCCTGCACAATCAATGAACCAACAGCATTGCCAAGGGCTATAAGTTCTCTCGTAGACTCATTGATATAAATTTTGGAGCGTACAAGTCCATCCAGTATGCATAATAATACAGTCCACACTCAAGACCAATTATGTACCAAAGACACCGTCAATCCGTTTTGTTTTATGTTCTTCTGCCATGCGTAATATGCATAGGCTATGTATTGTAGAACTGCACAATCATAATAGTAATTAATAAAAACCTATGCATAAGCTCTAGTATGCGTATTGGTGTTTTGAATGAATCATCACCTTAGAAAGCACTGTCCATTTCGTTGTGTTAGGCTTTGAAACAACAGCTACAACACTGTTTCAACCTGCTGTTGAACGTCTTTCTTCAAATTGATCATCACAGTGAGGTGAGTTGTAAAAGTATTTCAGGGCCTACCTGTTGGGATGCATGAACAGCTGGTGAGTAGGACCTCAAGGAGAGGGCAAATTTGAGGAGATTGACCTGGAGCTCTGTCAAAAATTGTCCAGCCTTCTTGATTACCAAGTTGTAATAGGAGCGCACAGACTCTGTAAAGGAAATCTGAGTCAAATGAATGTGCAAAGAAACTTGACTCTGACAATCAAAATCCACATAAATTAGTTTGTAGACAGATTTATGAGGTTTTCTCATGGAGCAAAGATATTTATTATTCATCAAATTCAATCCACATTTACATTTCTGTATCAATCAGGCACTGTCTGGAAGTGCAGGAAAGAGGCAATGTAACAGATTGTGTGAGAAGCATTGTATCTGATATAGAATACCTGTTTTGTGGTTATAAAACTGAAGTGTTTGCTTGTCACATCAGAGTTTCCACATACCTCCATTTTTGTAAACTGTTAACTCCTTCACAGTGTCAACAAAGTCCCAGAATTTCTCATTTCCGTCCTCTGCAATAAACTCACTAAACAAAAGAGAAGGAAATAAAAAGTTATGATAACAGGAAAATGTAAGTTCATTATGACTGAGGAACTGCAACATGTTACATTAAGTTGCTCTTATACCTGTCTTATAGTAACACTGTAATTACTACACATTGTACTTTAGTAATTACATAGTTATAAAGTTTAGCCGTTTCGGTGGAATAAGGAGCAGTCCCTATTTCTATTGTAATTAGTACAAAAGCATCATCTACATACATGTAGCCTAGCCTACTGCTTACAAAATGGATAGGCCTGCATATGTGGTATTCAGGAGAGACATGAGTAGTAGGCCTATGCTATCCTGGAGACATGTTTTTGTTTTCGAGCAGATTTTTTTCAGTAAAGCCTACCTTGTCTCCAGGAGGAAAGGCGTCATGCTCCACTTGGCTTTCAGACTGGCAGAGACGCCTTTCGATGCGGACTGGACATACTGGACGTTCAGCAGGAGCAGCGACAACAACAAGACGTTTCTCATCCTCTACACAAGACACGATGGAGAAGATTGACATATGCGGCAATAGATTAGCCTTATAGAAAAGAGCGTGAAATGTAACATGACCCTGTAATGTTATCGTCTCAATGTGCCACGTAGCTGTAGCAAGCAATTGTTTACAGATGCATTAGCAGGCAACATTATGTGAAGGAATAGCCTATGCAGTCCATTTAAGAAGACTAACCGAATGAGATGAAAGAAGGTGATAAGATAACAGGGGCAGGAAATCGTTCATGTGAGAAAGTCTCAGTTAGCCAGGATGGCAAATGATAGGCTAGTCAGGATAGCAAATGATAGCCTCACGTTTCATTTAACACACACTATAGGAAAGCTGCTTATATGAATGAAAACTGATTCAAGCAGCGCTACAATAATGTCAAGGCTACGACAAGACCGTTACTTTGTGGCCCATAAAGCTCCCGAATGAAGCTTCGAACGTTCTACAGACATTTCTAGTGGTTACAATGTATCAATCTTCCTTACCCCGGTAATGCTGGCCGCTGCCATTGATAGGTCCTTCGCTACCTATTTTATTGAAGAATATATTTGTTTGTATTCTTTTTAAAAGCCAAAGGAAAATAAAGATTGTATAATATATATTGGATTTTTTTATTACATAATGTATACCTTTCTGAGAAGTGTACTCGGGCGTAGTTAATCAAAAAACTAGTTTTTGGTGACAATATTTTGGGACATGCAATGTCATGGCCACCTACATTTGAGATTTTTTTTTTTTTTTTTTAAGTGGTTTGCGGAGCAACGGTTACTAGATCCTTGGGACGTCCCTACCCTAAACCCCTACCCTATCCATAACCCTTACCTTAACCATTTTACATTTAATTTCAATGGGACGTCCGAAGGATCCCTGATATGCACCGAAAAGGCAACATGCTGTAAAAAATTGCTGCTCCTTATATATAACCTACTGTGAAATCACAATCGAATTTGATATGAATAAAGCATGCCCTACTTACTGGCTATGTAGGCCTACAGTGGCTTGCGAAAGTATTACATTTACATTGACATTTTAGTCATTTAGCAGACGCTCTTATCCAGAGCGACTTACAGTTAGTGAGTGCATACATAATTTTTTTATTTTCATACTGGCCCCCCGTGGGAATCGAACCCACAACCCTGGCGTTGCAAACACCATGCTCTACCAACTGAGCAACGGCCGGCTATGACAGAGCCTGGATTCGAACCAGGATCTCTAGTGGCACAGTATTCACCCCCCTTGGCATTTTTCCTATTTTGTTGCCTTACAACCTGGAATTAAATTTGATTTTTGGGGGTTTGTATCATTTGATTTACACAACATGCCTACCACTTTGAAGATGCAAAATCATTTTTTATTGTGAAACAAACAAGAAATAAGACAAAAAAAATACAGAAAACTTGAGCGTGCATAACTATTCACCCCCCCCGTCCCCCCGTCCCCCCCAAAGTCAATACTTTGTAGAGCCACCTTTTGCAGCAATTACAGCTGCAAGTCTCTTGGGGTATGTCTCTATAAACTTGGCACATCTAGCCACTGGGATATTTGCCCATTCTTCAAGGCAAAACTGCTCCTGCTCCTTCAAGTTGGATGGGTTCCGCTGGTGTACAGCAATCTTTAAGTCATACCACAGATTCTCAATTGGCTTGAGGTCTGGGCTTTGACTAGGCCATTCCAAGACATTTAAATATTTCCCCTTAAACCACTCAAGTGTTGCTTTAGCAGTATGCTTAGGGTCATTGTCCTGCTGGAAGGTGAACCTCCGTCCCAGTCTCAAATCTCTGGAAGACTGAAACAGGTTTCCCTCAAGAATTTCCCTGCATTTAGCGCCATCCATCATTCCTTCAATGCTGACCAGTTTCCCAGTCCCTGCCAATGAAAAACATCCCCACAGCATGATGCTGCCACCACCATGCTTCACTGTGGGGATGGTGTTCTCGGGGTGATGAGAGGTGTTGGGTTTGCGCCAGACATAGCGTTTTCCTTGATGGCCAGAAAGCTCAATTTTGACCAGAGTGCCTTTTTCCATATGTTTGGGGAGTCTCCCACATGCCTTTAGGCAAACACCAAACACCAAACGTAATTTTTTTCTTTAAGCAATGGCTTTTTTCTGGCCACTCTTCCAAAAAGCCCAGCTCTGTGGAGTGTACGGCTTAAAGTGGTCCTATGGACAGATACTCCAATCTCTGCTGTGGAGCTTTGCAGCTCCTTCAGGGTTATCTTTGGTCTCTTTGTTCCCTCTATGATTAATGCCCTCCTTGCCTGGTCCGTGAGTTTTGGTGGGTGGCCCTCTTCTGGCAGGTTTGTTGTGGTGCCATAGTATTTCCATTTTTTAAAATAATGAATTTAAATGGTGCTCTGTGGGATGTTCAAAGTTTCTGATATTTTTTTATAACCCAACCCTGATCTGTACTTCTCCACAACTTTGTCCCTGACCTGTTTGGAGAGCTCCTTGGTCTTCATGGTGCCGCTTGCTTGGTGGTGCCCCTTGCTTAGTGGTGTTGCAGCCTCTGGGGCCTTTCAGAACAGGTGTGTATATACTGAGATCATGTGACAGATCATGTGACACTTAGATTGCGCACAGGTGGACTTTAACTAATTATGTGACTTCTGAAGGTAATTGGTTGCACCATATCTTATTTAGAGGCTTCACAGCAAAGGGGGTGAATACATATGCACGCACCACTTTTCCATTATTTATAGAAAAGAAAGAAAAATGCCATTTAGCAGAAGCTTTTATCCAAAGCGACTTACAGTCATGCGTGCATACCTTTTTGTGTATGGGTGGTCCGGGGGATCGAACCCACTACCTTGGCGTTACAAGCGCCATGCTCTACCAGCTGAGCTACAGAGGACCACATTTATATTTTAGAATTATTTGAAACAAGTTATTTTTTTCATTTCACTTCACCAATTTGGACTATTTTGTGTATTTTCATTACATGAAATCCATATAAAAATCCATTTAAATTACAGGTTGTAATGCAACAAAATAGGAAAAAATGCCACGGGGGATGAATACTTTTGCAAGGCACCCAATGTGTTAATTTAGAGACTTGTTGTGTGTGAAGTATTTAAAACAATTTTGGAAATACATTTTAGTCATTTAGCAGACACTCTTATCCAGAGCAATTAGGGTTAAGTGCCTTGCTCAAGGGCACATCGACAGATTTTTCACCTAGTCGGCTCGGGGATTAGAACCAGCGACCTTTCGGTTACTGGCACAACGCTCTTAACCACTAAGGTACCTTCCTGAATTGCACCTGGTTGTTTGTTCCCCTAAAGTATTAAGCCCACTAAATATGATTCCTGAAACAGACGTAGACAGAAGTAGACAGATTTGTATCAAAAATCAAATCACATTTTATTTGTCACATGCGCAGAATACAACCTATGGGCACCTACCTCCAGGGGCCCCCCACCTCCCCCCAAAAATGTGGCAGTGAGAAAAATGGGGCACAGAGAAATATGTGCCTTTTTATAATGCTATTCTACACATTTTGTCAAAAGGGCTGAGAGAATATTTTGTAGTTCTAAAGCTAATTTACAGCAATTCTACACATTTTGCCATGGGGCAGAGAGAGAAAAAATGCTGTTTTAAAGCTCATCTCATGCTATTCTTCACATTTTTCCATGAGGATGAGAGAAATGTTGCAGTTTTAAAGCTAATTTCCTGCAATTCTACGCATATTCAAATCAAATTGTATTTGCCACATGCGCCGAATACAACAGGTGTAGACCTTACAGTGAAATGCTTACTTACAAGCCCTAAACCAACAATGCAGTTTTAAGAAAAAAAATGTTAAGTAAAAAAGAGATAAGTGAAAAATAAAAAATAACGAAAGAGCAGCAGTAAAATAAAACGATGAGAGAGGCCTGTAATTTTCATCATAGGTACACGTCAACTATGACAGACAAAATGAGGAAAAAAAATCCAGAAAATCACATTGTAGGATTTGTAATGAATTTATTTGCAAATTATGGTGGAAAATAAGTATTTGGTCAATAACAAAAGTTTCTCAATACTTTGTTATATACCCTTTGTTGGCAATGACACAGGTCAAACGTTTTCTGTAAGTCTTCACAAGGTTTTCACACACTGTTGCTGGTATTTTGGCCCATTCCTCCATGCAGATCTCCTCTAGAGCAGTGATGTTTTGGGGCTGTCGCTGGGCAACACGGACTTTCAACTCCCTCCAAAGATTTTCTATGGGGTTGAGATCTGGAGACTGGCTAGGCCACTCCAGGACCTTTAAATGCTTCTTACGAAGCCACTCCTTCGTTGCCCGGGTGGTGTGTTTGGGATCATTGTCATGCTGAAAGACCCAGCCACGTTTCATCTTCAATGCCCTTGCTGATGGAAGGAGGTTTTCACTCAAAATCTCACGATACATGGCCCCATTCATTCTTTCCTTTACACGGATCAGTCGTCCTGGTCCCTTTGCAGAAAAACAGCCCCAAAGCATGATGTTTCCACCCCCATGCTTCACAGTAGGTATGGTGTTCTTTGGATGCAACTCAGCATTCTTTGTCCTCCAAACACGACGAGTTGAGTTTTTTACCAAAAAGTTATATTTTGGTTTCATCTGACCATATGACATTCTCCCAATCCTCTTCTGGATCATCCAAATGCACTCTAGCAAACTTCAGACGGGCCTGGACATGTACTGGCTTAAGCAGGGGGACACGTCTGGCACTGCAGGATTTGAGTCCCTGGCGGCGTAGTGTGTTACTGATGGTAGGCTTTGTTACTTCGGTCCCAGCTCTCTGCAGGTCATTCACTAGGTCCCCCCGTGTGGTTCTGGGATTTTTGCTCACCGTTCTTGTGATCATTTTGACCCCATGGGGTGAGATCTTGCGTGGAGCCCCAGATCGAGGGAGATTATCAATGGTCTTGTATGTCTTCCATTTCCTAATAATTGCTCCCACAGTTGATTTCTTCAAACCAAGCTGCTTACCTATTGCAGATTCAGTCTTCCCAGCCTGGTGCAGGTCTACAATTTTGTTTCTGGTGTCCTTTGACAGCTCTTTGGTCTTGGACATAGTGGAGTTTGGAGTGTGACTGTTTGAGGTTGTGAACAGGTGTCTTTTATACTGATAACAAGTTCAAACAGGTGCCATTAATACAGGTAACGAGTGGAGGACAGAGGAGCCTCTTAAAGAAGAAGTTACAGGTCTGTTAGAGCCAGAAATCTTGCTTGTTTGTAGGTGACCAAATACTTATTTTCCACCATAATTTGCAAATAAATTCATTAAAAATCCTACAATGTGATTTTCTGGAAAGAAAATTCTCAATTTGTCTGTGATAGTTGACGTGTACCTATGATGAAAATTACAGGCCTCTCTCATCTTTTTAAGTGGGAGAACTTGCACAATTGGTGGCTGACTAAATACTTTTTTCCCCCACTGTACATACATACATTCACATACAGTACCAGTCAAATGTTTGGAAACCTACTCATTGTAGAATAATAGTGAAGACATCAAAACTATGAAATAACACATAAGGAAT